GAAATTAGAAAAGGAGTTTAAGTGGATTTAATTTGAATGAAATTACAAGTACAAGAGAATCAGAAGTTATGCCCCAGATTTGAAAACAAAACATTCAGCTTTGATTATGCTCCCAAACCCTTTTAACAAATAGACATTAGATCAGTTCTACCACAACTGCAGTCATTTTGGACAGAGGACGTGGTTCATGGAGGTGCACACAATAGCGGGTCGTTTGTGAATGAGAAGTAGATGCAAGAATTTGCAAGGAACACAGAAAAAGTAATTAATAATTTTCTTCATTCTCCAGTTGTTGTTTTTCTTTTGAGCTTCCTAGCGCTCTATCTCCAACACCGATAGGACTGTGCTCACCCTCCTTTCTCTCTCTTTCACTTTCAGGCACAGCTCCCTGCCAGATTATTTGCAGACTGTGCACAGAACCCAAAAGGATTCTTGGCAGTATTTCTAGCAGAAAGAATGCCAAGTATAAGGTCAGGCCACAGGGTGGAAGAGTAAATAGACAAAACACGTATGTGTTGAGAGGCATTTAAAGAGACCAAACATGGCCAGACATGAAGGTCTTTCCAATAATTACACTTATTGCATTTTAGAACCTAAAATTGTTCTAAAATGCAACAATAATTTGTTACATTTTAGAACCTGGTCCCAAAGCCCAGTTGTAATCCATCCAGTCACTTTTTAATCCCCTTGAAACAAAGCATTTAACTGTGGCTGCTTCGTCAAGCATAAAATTAATCCATTTATTATTTTATGTGTCCGCAGAGTGTTAGTCTTACAGCAGAAACAAAAATAAGTATTGTGGCAGCTTAAACATACTTTAGAGGTCTTCAGACCACAGAGGTTGGATGGCCATCTGTCATGGATGCTTTAGCAGAGATTACTGCATTGCAGGGAGTTGGACTAGATGTCTCTTGAGGTCCCTTCCAACTCTGATTCTATGATCTGCTTTGACAAATATCATTCATTTGTATACCTGAAAGAGCCATTCAACCCGGACACTGAGGTCCAGCGCCGAGGGCCTTCTGGCGGTTCCTTCACTGCGAGAAGTGAAGTTACAGGGAACCAGGCAGAGGACCTTTTTGGTAGTGGCGCCCACCCTGTGGAACGCCTTCCCACCAGATGTCAAAGAAATTAACAACTATCTGACATTTAGAAGACATCTGAAGGCAGCCCTGTTTAGGGAAGTTTTTAATGACTGATGTTTTAGTGTATTTTAAATCTTTTGTTGGAAGTGGCTGGGGAAACCCAGCCAGTTGGGCGGGGTATAAATAATAAATTTATTAGTAGTAGTAGTAGTAGTAGTAGTAGCCATGTTGGACTGACGCAGTCAAAAGCTTCTACCCAGAACAAACTTAGTTGGTCTCTAAGGTGCTACTGGACAATTTTTAAAATTATTATTATTATTCAGTGTTCCAGCCAGCCACATCTTCTAGAGGTACTCCATATCTATTCCCATCCCTCTGGTTTCCTACTCCTCCCACCGAACCAAATACTCTACATTTTGTGGGCCCCTGCGCATGCTCCGTTCTCATAGAGTGTTTTAGCTTCACACACCCCACCCAAGTTTACTATTAACTCCCTCTTGTGTGCAGCTAGTGCAGCTTTGGCTGCAAGAATACATTTGCTGCTTGTCATTTCCCCTATAGCAGTGTTGTGGGAGGTAGGCTTAGCATTTGAATTCAACCATCAATCAGAGTGGTTGGCAAGTTTCCCCTTTTTTTCCAGTTATCAGGATTCCAACCAGCTGCCATCTTTTATTACTTTCAGCAAACACCTGTATCCATGGGCTCTGCTTCATTGCCCCATTTAAATGGGCCATTTGTGTGAAAGTTTGAAAAAGTGGGCTTCTTCTAGTGAGCTCGGAGCTATGCAAGACATTTAGTGTCTAGGTGCCTGCTTCCTCACGAAGCATAGGCATGAACCAAACATAAGTCCAGGTAACCTTCCCATATTTTCTTCTAATGTAACTTGCTCTGGGATTAACTTTGGTAATAAAGTTGAAAATAGGCAAGTCTAGAGCATGTATTTTAATTCTGTTAAGTGGGAGCATCTGTAGGACTGGGCACATTCATTGCTAACTTCAGAGTGAGCATCAGTTCTTGGAAGCTTGGTCTATGGACTCAACCATTACAGACAAAACTCTTCCTAAATGGAGAGAAGTCACAAGGTGGCTAAACCTTCCATCTGGATATCAGCCTCCTACCCTCAAACCTATCCTGATGTGTTCAGAATTCCACGTTAATGTGAATATAGCATCCCATGCCACCCTTGGTTTGGTTTTTAATGCGTCTGTTTCATGAAGCACTATTTTGTTGTTTGGGTTAAATGGGTAAGTCAATAAAAATACTTACCCAAAAAACTTTCAAAATATTTTTGTAAGAAGAGAATTCCAGATGTTGATCAGTGTGAGCGCCTCTTAATGTCATGTCTGAAAGCTTGTCCTCTCATTTTAGCTGCTGTGTAGAATATAGCAGGATTATTCTGCCTTCCAATTTACAAGGTTAAATTACTGGAGCTATCAACTGCTCAGCAATCCCTTGTTTGAGCATTGCCAGGTTTTATATCTCACACACTCTAGTATCCCAAAACATTCTTTAGTAAAGGTTAAAAGCAAGGATATTATTAGACAGAGTTGGCACCAACTGGAGGTGGAGGAAGCATACACTGCCATCTATTCGTATTTCTGTTTGCCCTAGAAAAAAAGCATTAAATTTTCTCACTTAAAGGTTTTTTTTAATCTTTCTATGTTTATACACATAGGCAAAACAGATTAACTTGCCTGTGAATGGCTTAAATTGCTGTAACTGCTGTAATGGCTTAAATTACTGTAACTTTCATATTTTTCACACTAAATACTAAAACCTCAGCTTCTGGAAGGCAGACAAGCTGTACAACACAGTAATTCTTCCACACTGTGTAGACCTAACCCAATATGGATCACTGGCGGGGAAATTTTTGCAAAATTGCACTAGACTGCACATGTTCTAACACAAAAATACCAGATGATGGATACTGAGTTTAGTCTGTATTCACTATCACTCCATTACTGAGTGCTCTCAGCCCAGGAAAAGGTCCACTTCAGATTGTGCCTGTTTTGGAAGCACAAGCCAGCATGGAAAAAACCAAAACACAGGCACGCATAACCAGTGTGCCCAGAAACAAACTTATTAAGCTAAGTGCAGAACATTCCTATTAAAAATGGATGGGCAAGGCTTTAAGTGAGAGTCACAAAGAATGAAAATAACCGTGCAGTCTACTCTTTCCGAATGAAATATTAAACGGAGGAAAACTGTAGGTGTTGATGTCACAAAGATCAGTTGTAGTTGGAAACCACAGCGTCGTACTTCCAGGTAGTGTCCCAGAGCACTTCAGAGAAGTAGGTAATCTGAAGAAACATTGTCTTCCATCCGCAAATGAATATAATCTTAAGAGGTTAACCGTTTATTTGCTTATAATGCAGTGAAGGCATCGGCTTAATTCTCACACTTCTGACTTATCCGTTATTCAAAAATGGTACATCCAATTGGAATACAGTGGTGCCTCACAAGACGAAATTAATTCGTTCTGCGAGTTTTTTCGTCTTGCGAATTTTTCGTCTTGCGAAGCACGGTTTCCCAAAGTCTTCAAAATCACCAAAGTCTTCAAAAACCTCAAAAAGGCTACCACACCGCGTGCTATGAGTTGCTCCTCGAAGTCACCCTGGGTATTAACGGTTTTAAGAAAAAGGAAACAAACTTGCAAGACGCTTTCGTTTTTTTTCATTTTTCGTCTTGCGAAGCAAGCCCATAGGGAAATTTGTCTTGCGAAGCAACTCAAAAAACGAAAAACTTTTTCGTCTTGCGAGTTTTTCGTCTTGCGAGGTACCACTGTACTGTAATTCTTCTTACTTCACTGCAAAGAGAACTTCTGTATTTGGAGAGTGGAGAGGTACTTTTTAACCTTTTTTTTTTGTACAAACGCAGGCAAAAATAATGGTATCACACCTTCCAATTAAATAACAGAAGCCCAAAAAGCAGTTGTAAACAAAGTCTAAAACACAATGTCATCCTGTTAAGTCAGCCAAGGCTTTCCTTCAAGCCTGAATAGAAAAAAGGCATTGCTGGGCCTGGGGGAGTGATATGCCATCATTTTGGGATGGATGGACAGATGAGCAATGATGTTAGAACTCTTTGAATAAATTAAGAACTGGAGTACAGCTTCACCAAATTCTCTTAGTAGTGGGTAAAAACCTATGGAAGGTGGTCTCTTTAAAGTGGCACAGGTCACTTCAGGCTTTGAAGTTCTACACCAACACTCTGAATTACTCTGTGAAGCTGATAGGCAGGCAGAGCAGTTGCTGCAGCAAGAGTTTTTCACCATCCCAATACCCCACATGAGAAAGGACCACCATCACATAGAAAGCACATTTCAGTAGTTATCACTAGGGGCTGCATAGATGGTACTTAAACTTTTCCAGATATGGATAGAGGTAGCAGATGTGCTGCAGAAATTCATTCTCCTCATAAATCTGTTACCTGCTTAAGTTTAGGAATTACTCTGAGAGACAGTGACAGTCAACTAAGGGTAAGAAAATGTGAACAGCCATGAGTAGCCCACCACCTTCCCAAGTCAAAGTACACCACCCAGCATTTCAATGCAGACCTATGCTGGGTCTTACCTTACCTGCTGTGCATATTGTTCTACATCATCCTCAATTAAGCCACAACCACTCCCATACATTGTGATTAGGGAGAACAGACTGAAAATCTAACTGTGCAACTTTGACAGAATTAGGCCTTGTCACCTCTTGAAATTAAAATGGTTCAGAACTAGAAGACAGATACGTTTCTTAGACAAGAGTCCCAAGCAGCCCACATTAAAAATTATGTTAAAGGGCTCCTTTAGAATTGTAACTAGCCAAACTCATTGTACCCCATCTTCCCATTGACCGAGAAAAAAAGGGGGGGTTAAAACCATAATTACAAGAGAAAACACTGTTATATGCAAGTTAAGACCATGCCATATCAACGGTTTTTATTTAAAGCCTTAAAATTGAACTGTTGTTACTATTCATGTAGACAAATCTTGGGAGTTCACAAAGATCAAACAGATTTCAATTGCAGCAACATGATACAGTACAGAAAGTTGATGCGTCAGGAAACTGGGATCTCAAGCTATGTAAGGCGTGGAGCTCAGTGTGGAGCAGAAGATCTCTTAAGATACAAACCATTTGGAATATGTCCTGGGTCACCTGCACTCTTTTTTAAAACTGATGAGTAGCAGTAAACACTTAGCCGAAGAGAAGAGCTGTGAATTTGTGTGAGCCGGGCTGATCCCACATTCTCTCTTATGTTTCAGATACTTTTCTATATTTGCTTGGATCCACTTATCTTTCTCTCTCCACACACCGCCAGCAAGCTGTACTCAGCATACTATTGCTTGTAAGCAACCAAGAAAATCACTGTTATTGGATGGCATATATATGCTGCATAAAATGTTCTTAAACATGATTGCCTATTCTAGCAATCATTTTCTCCTCTTTCTGGGATGAGTGTTAATCTGACAGGCTCAGACTATCCAGAGATCCTTTAAAATAAAAACAAAACCTTCTACTCATCTAGACTAGACAAAAATTAAGTTTTCAAATTAGTATTAATATGTGGGTGTTATTTTTAGAAATATTCCATATACCGGTATTTAAAGTTTCAAGATTATTTGAATGTCAGCTCATTTTTCAGTGAAAGAAGCAACACTGACTTTCCCCCCCGTGCCTCATTTCTACCGAATTTCTACTGTAGTACAGAAAGTAAAATTTGTGTATCTCATTCCATCTAAGGTCCTGTACTGCCTGAATAATGTGACAAGTAAAGAAAGACCTGTTATGCACTTCCACCTTAAATAAGTAGTTAAATTGTTGGATGGAACTAAACAAATCCATTTTGTTTTATTCAAGCTTAAACACAATGTAGAAAATGAAGACACTAATAAAAAAATGGTTAGGCCTGTAATCTTATGCATGCTTACCTAGAAGGTCCCAGAGAGAGAGAGAGAGAGACTCTTGAGTACTCAGAGAGACGCTGAGTAAACATGCACAAAATTGCTCGTGTGAGTAAAATTCAACATTAGCCATTTTCAGAATACATCCACTGAAATCAATTGTCTTAAGTAACTTGTCCATTGATTTCAGGCAGTCCACTATGCATGATTTAGTCAGATTTCACCCTGAAGTAACCATGCAACATTAAATTTCTTCAATTTAGGGTTTTATATTAGTACTCATTGGTACTAGGGGTTCATGTGACCTTTAGCATATGACTGTAATATGTACAGCATATACATAGCATATATGTAGCCTTGGAAGGGAACCCAAGAGTTATCTAGTCCAACCCCTTGCAATGTAAGTCCAACCCCTTACAATGTTTTTTTGTAACTTGAATCCATTGGTTCAAGGTGCTAGCTTCCAGAGCAGGAGAAAACAAACTTGCTCCATATGACAGCCCTTTAGATATTTGAATATGACTATACATGCAACTTTAGACATTTTGAAATGAGATTTTGCTACTAATTTCTATTTCAAAGCACAAAATGTTTTAAGTTAAAGTTTCTACACAGCTTAAACAACTTGATAAATTCAACAAACATCATATTCAGGAATTTGTTTATTTTTGGTTTACAAACAAAGGCACCCAATATTTCTATTTTATAAAAGCTTATGATTTAAAATTTTGTTTTCAGAATCTGTTCCTACAGCAGAAAGCTACATTGCAGGGTAATGTTCTTCTATGGTCCCAAATTTTAAAGTTCTGGCACACCTTCTGAGTGATCCATTTCAGAATGCTCTTCTCTCACTTTAGATTGGATAGTTTCTTCAAGTCAATTAGACTTTTCAGACTAATACCCAAAATTATGAATCTTGTTTATGTTAATTAACAAATCTGAAATTACTGAAGTTGCAACATTAGTATGAACACCAAAACTGAAGGAACCTTTACAATCTAGATTTATGTGGAATGCTAGAACATTATTGCGACATAGTTATGTTATTTCTTTGTATGAGAAAACTAGGTAACCATTCAAATTAAATGGAAATCCTAGGAATCCAATATGGCAGCCATACTGGAAGTTAAACTAGTGTGGAAAATTAAACAATTCCATCAGTTATTCAGAGATCTTTTAAAATCGTAGTATGGATCCCGGTGCAATTTTCTCAGCTGCATTAGCTTCAGGAGTTAAGCAGTAATTTGTTCCATAAAAACAGTACAGTGAGAAAATGAACTCAGCATCTAAGCATCTTACAATTGCCTCTCACCAAGTTCAACCACACACACACACATACATATATATATACACAAATCAAAGTGGCTTGTTGGGTTCCAGGCACCTTGTGCAAAAGTTTACAACGTACTAAAATGCCAAGTAAATATTCAAGTTCAATGAGAAAGAATTAGGGGAGCAGCTGTAGCAGATACAGTAGGAATATTGCACCCAACTGTAAAACCTTAAATCACTAAATCCACAATTTATTGTATTCCAACACTGTAACACCAGACTCACACACTTCTTAATAGTGTGGACTTCGACTATGTAACATTTTGTATCCCTGGAAAATTATATGCAGATCTTTTTTAAAAAAACAACAACTGTACATTAAAGTACTTAATAAGATAAAATATTTAAACTTCAACAAGGAAGCTCTCTCTCCAAAATCAGATGCACATTTGCATGAAAGAAGTTATATTTCCACAGCAGCAAGACATGCTCTATATGTGGAATTATAAGTATAGGATGCATGTGCTTCGCGTAACTCCTATGGTTCATTCAGGATTCATTCACAATTTACTTAGGCATATTAATAAAAAAAAACCCCAGGTATAATAGAAGTTAATCGGTTGCCACCACACAAGTATGGTAGATTATATCAAATAAAAAGAATGTTAATGATAGCAGAGAATTGTATGTAACTATGTTTAACAGCGTAAGATTTTAATATTATATGTACTTAATTAAATCTTAGAGCAAGGACTGTTGTAAATGCATTTTTCCTGGTAAAGCAACATGCAGAAAAATACATTTAACCTAGTACCTATTCAGTTATTTATATTTTCTTCATTTCTATTTTCACCATTCCCCCAAACTGTGCTGAGTTTTATTTAGCATAAATATCAATTTCACCCCTTCAGAAGTAGTGCTCGATAATTTGGTTTAAAATTCTGTAGGTAATTTAAGAAATGCGGCATTTCGTAAACAGATTTATGCTCTAAATCACTGAATAAAATTTCAAAGTTCCTGATTTCTTCTGCAATAAAAGGAAAATACTAGTGACTCGTAATGATGTGGTTCCCTTGTGTGCAACTTCCAAGGGATAAATTCACCTCTTTCCTTGGCCATACAAACAGTTCTAAGCCACAAGTCAGAAAAACATGCAGAGTAAAATGCTGTGTACCAGCTGCAGTTTTCCCCTTGAAGGATCCCTGCTTTTTCAAGTCAAGGGATTGGAAAGGAGGAGAGAAGAATAAAAGACTAACGAATGCCCAACTCACAATCATTTACAAAGATACCTCTCTCATAAGAATAACCAGACAAACCAGTTGCAATTTTAAAGTCTCAAATAAATAGCTCTACCATCTAAGCCAATAATTTGTTCACCTTAACTAAACACACTTATTTGCAATAAAAATTAAGTTTACTATGTTAAGGCAGATTTTAATTTCAATGCATTCCAGAATTGCACAGTTACACTGGTCAGTGGCCTAAAGTTCTTCCTCATACAGAGATATTAAATTCATTTGGATATTTAACCTACATATTTGCCTAATGACAGATTGATCCAGTACCAGCCATATGATCTCCACAGAAATACACAATTAAGCATCACGTGTACTGTACTGTATTTCACAATCCAGATCTAATATTTCATGTTTTTACAAAAGACGAGATGAGTAGGTACATTTTAGGGCTTTATGCCATTAGACCACCATTTGCATAGATGTCCTAATTCTAGAATTGCCATCTTTAATATCTCATAGTGATGGATGCTCTGAAGTAAGAGAGAAACTTGTAACAGAGGCTAACGACAAAATACCAGATGTTTCTTGCCATTTGTGATCTTGCAATGAAAATACGCCAGATGAGGATCACAAGCACTGTATTGAAGCCATAACGAATGTTCCTTAGCCTAGGAAAGCAAGGAAAAACAAGATGTGAAAAACACAGGCTGACCCACAAGTAAAGTTAACAACTGTAAGATGAATTGGCACTTGATGCCCGCCCCTGTTGACTAATAAATTGAGAAGTCTAACAATCAGCTACTTGTATAAAGTATGCATTATACAATAAGCCAGCCTTTGTCAACCTGGTGCCCTCCAGATCTTTAGGTCATGCTGGCTGGAGTTGATGGAAGTCTGGAGTCTTAAAAATCTGAAGAGCATCACATTACCTATTCCTGCAATAAGGAAATAAGCTGCACCTTTTACCAGTAGATGTTTTCTTTCATGTTTGTCATAGAAGTCCCTACAGATAACCCAACCAGTAACATTTTCAGCTAAGAAATGCCTGGCTCTGGTTTGCAAACTGGAGGGGAAATATCAGAATTCCCCCAGAATTCCTTACCCACCAATCCAGGAGTGGTTTCTAGAAGACGGGTACATAACTTACAAGTGTTGTGAGAAAAGAAGGGCAGCAGTTCTCCTTTCTTCACTGCATACCAATGCAATCTCAGAGCACAAATCCAAGCCTCAAATTATTCTTTACTATAGTAAAACTAAAAGTAGCTAGGATATTTGTGGCCAGATTGATCATACTTTTGGAAGCTATTGTGAAGACAGTGGCAAATGTGTTTTTTCAGCTGTAGTATATACCATACTTCTTGCTTAGTGCCTATATGGTTTGGAAGGTAGACAACACAAAATGGAGTAAACATCCTAGTATATGTTATCTTTCTAGTCCATAGATCTGGGTTTGATCAAATCCTGGGATAAGTTTAGAAACAACCTACCTAGGACTTTGAACTGGTAGAGCTTGCCACTGTTGACACCAAGAAAAGGGAAAGATGGCACCTCTGTGCAATGACCAAAAATTGCAGCAACTGTGTGTCCAACTAATACAGTTGTGAAACACAGACTGTGTGCTATGGTTGTAAGGTCTAACAGTTAATGATAATTACTGAAGTATAAATGTGTAATAATCATGACTTGTCAACTACCTGTAACAACAACAAGTCTTACAGTATTAAGTCAAACTTCACAAATGAAATGTAACTTTTAATTCTTAAGTCAAGAGCACAACAGATTAAACTGTTTCATAGCTAACATCATGTAAGAATGTATGTGCACAATACATTCGTGATTTCCAGTCCAAAGTAGAGTCCAGTTTTAATAAACACCTGGGCCAAACCTAGATTTCTAGAGACTCCTTGTGACAAGACTTGTCAGTAAACCAGCTGAGATGGTAAGCCTTCCCCTGTTAAACCCTACATGTTGCAAAATTCTTAGCTTAGCTGCTCACCTACATACAAAAATCATGTTATAGCACTGTTTTTTATTTCATATCACAATAGAGCATATGGGTAACTCTAGATTTTTTGTGGTGTCAACCTTTTTTTTTTAAGCTACCCAATATTACTGCAACTTTCCCCCCAGTCAAATTTAATTTGGAAAAGCAACAAGAATGGTGGGGTCATTAAGGAGATTAAATTTTCCATTTGTACAGGTTTATGTACTTTACATTTTGTGATATTTTGACTTCTATGACTTCACAGCAGCTATATTGTTATACTCCAAAAGGAAAATTATCAGTAAACTTTTTTTTTTTACTTGCATATGGTGTCACAATTAACACCTTCCCTCAGGTATTATATCTGCATGAGAATTCTTTGATCCCAAAACCAGACGGATGCAGCATTACCCTCCTCTGCACCAGACATTAAAAGAGGCAGTAAGGTTTCAATTGCCATTACCTTCTAAAAAGTAAAGAATAAAGGTTGAGGGCAGAACTTGAAATCATGCTATAGTGAATTTCCCATCAGCACAAGCACCGCAGCTTGCCAAGCAGAACAATCCCCTCTCTCGTGTGATATTATGGAGGCTCTCCTGACACCTGCCCCCACAAGTAAAATTATTTAGGGAGTATACTAGAAGAAGGAAAAGCTATGTTGAACAAGTGGAAGCCCTTGTGCAGAGCTTGCACCGATTGGACTTGTTAGGTAAATTCCACCCATAAACTATACATACTTATTCAAGTGTTTCCGAGCTGCTGGGAGACCAGACATTTCCTCGTTCAATACATATTTCTTCGTTCCCATGCAGTAATTTTCCATATATTCTGCCCAGTGTAGTTGTCGAACATCAAAATTAAAGGTCTGTCACAAAAAGAACGAACAGTATTATGCCAAACTTCACAAATGAAATGTAACTTTATTCTTAAGTCAAGAGCACAACAGATGAAACTGTTTCATAGTTAATCAGCAACGCTGGGGAGAGGAATGCTGTGCTACTCTGCAGCCACCAAAACCTACCATACCCGGATTGCTTCTCCACCAGTGGTTGAAGCAGCAGGGCAGGTGGGGGCGCCACCACTTTCATTTCCACTCCCTGAGGTGGCTGCTTCACCCTGCCTCACGGGTGGGTCGGATCTGCTGGACTACAACTCCCATCATCCCCAGTTGCTATGCTGGTTGGAGTTTATGGAAATTGGAGTCCAACAACGTATGGAGTAAACCATGATGGCTACCCCTGCTCTAAAGGCACCAATATTTACATCATTTCACATCCAAAGGTGCTCCCCACTATAACTCTACAAACTGTTAATCAAGAGACATGCAGAATCAACCTGAAAGGATGACCACCCCCCCCCACTTCAAGCTAACTGGGGCATTTAAATTTCCCCCTTTAAAAAGGTTTGTAGAGTTATAGTGTGGAGCCCCTTTGGATGTGAAATGATGTAAATATTAGTGCGTGTAGAGCAAGTGTAGCCATCATAAGCCTGAATGGCCTGTGTGCTGATACAAACAGGGGGAGGGGTTAAAAAGGCATAGCTGATATTAGTTCTACCTCAGAGTAGGCAATAAAGCGGTGGTCCCTGTAGTCAGTCCTACATTGTAAGGTTGGAGAATGCATAGCCATTGTCACAATGAGCTTCTTTGTGAATTATGGGTGGAAGGGTAAAGAATCACAACCAAACCACACTGTGCTATTGAAGGAGCCCAAAGTAAGGTGGTGCCAGCAGAGAAACAATGTTGGTGCAGGCCTGGGGCACAGGACTGTGGACAATCACAGCACCCTAGTTCAGTGGCAGAGCACCTGCCTTGCATGCAGAAGGTCCTAAATTCAATCCCTAAATTCAATCCTTTAGAGATTCTGTTTCTGGTTAGAACTCATTGAGGCACTACAGTTCCAAGTTATCCTTGCTTTTGCCAACATGTAACAAGACTTAAAATAGGCACACATACTCTTAAAACCTTGTTACTGAATGTATTATTTTAATCCATAATCACAAACTGCTGCATATTAACAGTTTAGTCCTAGTTTATGTTAACAAGCTGAACAGAAATTAGTCTCATAGCCTACTTATTGTTTTCAAGCAGATTTAAACTACTGAGCTATCTTGACATTAACCTTTTAATCTAAGATTAAAATGATTCAGTATCAGATACCTGCATAGAGTATGACAGTCTACATAATTTCAAAAAATAAAAATCTAGCTTCACCAATTGATCTCAATTTCAAATATTTAAAGTTCATTCAAACTCATTTGGATTAGCTGAACATATCAGGAATGCTAGTGCAGACAAGGTGTCTAGCATTGTAAATTAGTTTTTATAAAAGTTAAAGCAAAGAAAGGAACCAAGCACACGATTATACTATAGCTTGATTTTTTCCTATTTTCCCTGTCAGCTATTCTTTCTTTGAAAACCTTGACATGTCAATAGTACAGTGAGTAAGTCATTGCTAAGACAAAAACAAATGTAACTTGCCTTTTTGTCTTCAGGACTCAGCTGGCTCATGAGCATATTGACGTTATCTGTGTTCCAGTCCCAAGAATTACTGGTGAAATATTCTAGCAACATCATAGCCTTGTGAAGACGTGTTATTGTTTTCATCATCCTACAGTTCAGGGGAAGATGTTATTCAAGAAAATGACATTTGAAAAACTACATGTCTAAACTCAGATCCTCTAATTGTCTCCCAACCCCAAGGCACTCAAGTAAATTTAACATAACTAGAATATTTCTGCATTGCATTTTAATAAATATTTTAAGGAAAATTATGAACTACATGCTTAGACAGTATAGTGAAAACTAGATTATAGAGAGAGACTTAATATGAAGTAGATAGAGTTAAAGAAGAAGAGAAATATTATCTAGTAGTTTTAATTGCCGAGTCAAGAGGGGAAACACTGGATTCAAAAATTTATCTGTAACTTTCTGGCTTGACCAAAGCTTAGCCTCAATCTACAAAGGGCAAACTCTAGAGACAGATGTCCTTTCTCTATTTCTCCACCGCTCCCAGAAAACTATTTCTGTGGATAGCATTGAAGGGCAGCTCCCCTGCAACAGAAAGTGCCCCTGAGTATAATTCTCACACAAATAATATGTTGGGTATTTATTTGAGAATCAACACACCGAATGCCCGCTCCCATTACTCCAGAGGCCAATAAGGAAAGTTTACATTACATAACAATTCTCCTTTCCAATATCATCACGTTACACCAACTGATGCAATGCAGTATGCCAGTTCAGATGTAAGGGTTTACTACATAATATGCAGAAATATTCTATCCATGTTCATTGCCTACCTGGGGCAACAATGAATAATTTGTCTGAATACAGTGCATTCTATTATTAGGATCAACATGGAAAGCAGCTTTTCTATTTTAAAAAATATGTTTATGTATAAATTTGAATCCAGGAAACTGAATATTCATTTTTTAAATACATTTTTAGTACATTTGTAGGGAAAATTAAGTTCTGGTGCATATTGTCTTCCTAGAGCAACAACTTATTCCACTGGCACCGGCTAGCCACAGCCAAGAGCATACAGTGATTCTACACATACATTTCCAGCCTGATCCTTAAAATGGAAGGCACTGATGATAAAGAGCAAAGAAGATGAAAAGGGGAAAGGGACGAGAAAATAAAATTAGCATCTGTATGAAACAGCTTTAGGAAAGACTGTGGTTGTTTGCCTATACTGAGCAGGATGGTCAAATTCTACTGTGTGTAAAATATTTTATAATTTAAATAAAAGAAGTATGTTTGGGGGAAAGCTATTTAACAGGAAGAACTACATCCCAAATACAAATAACTACCTACCAGAAAAGCAATACAAGACAATGAAACTATGCAACACTTTTTCCTATTAGGATTTTTTTTTATACATTTCTTCTAAGGACCTAAAATGTGTCTGAACTACAACAAGGGAACTTGTGCAGCTCACCCATATTATGAAAAGCTTAGCCAGAGCTCTTCTTTCCAAACATTCATAAGCACAAAAGTCAGAAGAACAGAAAAATACTGACTATAAAGATTTTTAGCAGTAATTAAAAAATGCATTACATTCAAGTACACTTGAAGTTAAGGACGCAAGCTTACTAAGAGTGAGTATTTTACTTTCTAGATGAACAATTTTGAGTTTCAATTCCCTGGGCGACATCCAATGGGGCTTCTCACCAGCAGAATTGATTTCTTCTGGCATAACAGGAGTTCCTCTTCCCTTCCCTGAACTGCCTCAAAATCTGCTCTGGAGGGCTGTGAGTCACTGGACCAGAGTTGGAGAGGAAGAAATAGAAAGTCTGCTCTCACAGACTTCGCTCTCCCCTGGCTACACTTTCAAGGCACTCCACAAAAGGAAGGAAGTGGGAATATTGGTAGCTTGGTACTTTTTGCTATGAAATAAATGCTACTGGTTTAAGCTAACCCCAACTGTGGCCGCTGTACCAAACACCCCCTCTCCTCCCCTCACATGCTGCTGCACAAGTGAGAGGTTAAGCAGTATAACTTCTTTTTCTCTGTACTGAATCTCCAACCATCCAGCTTCAATGGATGAACACAGCTTCTAGTATTAAGCAGGGGAGCATATATGTGGGCCAGATTCAACCAAAGACTTCCGCTAGGGCAACAGCACTTCCCCTCCTTCCCCTAGTTGCTCCTAGAGGGGTTGGGAGAACCCCCAGAACAGCACAGGGGAGATGACAAGGGGAAACCTACCATCTGGCAAGCTGAAATGACTTCACTAACACAACGCTTGCCATAGTGCAATGTTTCTTTAGCTTTCTCTTTAGAATGCTTTCATAGGTTAATTTTCATAGGAAATGATCTAATACACCCACTGAAGACCCCCGTTTCCAAAAAGCCTATATTGAGAAACACCTTTGTGTGTTGTGGAATCTTCTAATGTGTGCTGTCGGTCAACACAGAATGCTAGCTAGGTCTTTTACTGCAATTCTGAAGATTCCCTAAAATACGTTCAACATTTTCTCTTCAACCACAGGTGTAAAATCAGGAGTGGTAGACAAACTGTTTCTATTGACGTTTTCCTACCATTACTGAACTAATGAGATACTGAGCAGTGTTAATCTCATAAGGAACTCGATGATGGTCTGGAAAAGTAACAAAAAACAGTACAAAGCTATGCATATCTAGCCAGAAGTAAGTCCCACTGAGTTTAATGAGCTTTACTCCCAGGTCATTTGTATAGCAGCAGCAGATGCCCAGTGGTTTCCAGATGTTGTTGGACTCAATCTCCCATCAGCCCCTGTCAGCCTGGCCAATGCCCATCCATAATGTAAAGGACTGAAGCCTAAAGTCTTGTACATAGATAAGAATGTTGTTCTACATACATAAATACATACATAAAATTTATGTAACTGGCAAGAATGTTAAAGTTCTTCCAAAACCAATAGAGAAAATTCCTCTGGATCAGTGCAACAGAGCAGAAGCATGCCTTTATGTGTAGCACGTCTACTTTGATGGACCTGAGAAGCTGGTATTGGCAGCTGAGAGAATGGCATAAAGTCACCAAATTCCAAAGATGGAGGCATAATACTTGCCCATGCTTCCACAATAGCCATCAAGACAATGCCACAAGCAATAAAGCATAACAAGCATTATTTCTGTGCATGAACTAACTTTTGGTAAAATATGCTGATGCTGTCACAGAACATGGACAAGTTTTATGCTGGAGCTTCTAAAGTCAATAGAGGACATACCAAAATATGCATTTGTTTTTTTAAAAAAAGTAGTAGTATTGCAAATGCTAATTTAACTTTGAAAATAACAGAACTTGACAGTTCCTCTGTTCCCTCAGATCTCAGTGGTGGTGGTTGTTGTGCAGTTTGAACATCCATTCTGCAAAAGAAAGCTTGAAAATCGTGCCATTTTAAAACTATAAAATAGGAAGAATAAAACTATGCAATTTTGACGAGTTAAAGTAAACTTTTTGCTTACTTAAAAAAGGTAGCCAGAAGAATTATAAGCCGAATGTCAGTGAGATAAAATGTGTTAAGTGACTTGTATCATCCATTAAAAAAACACAAGTACACCATGATTGTCATCTATATTTATACAGATGGCAATATATACATATATATTTATATATTTGTTTATCTCTTACATCTCCTTGCCCTCCCATTCCATTTCAGCTTATAATTTCAATAACAGTGCTAGAGTGGAATGATTCAAAAGACTTAGAAAATGGCTGGGACTGTTAGATTCATTGTAAGAAAATGAACTTCAAACAATCACTAAGTCCTAAGAAACATCCAGCTCTTTTACTGTTATTGTTGATGCTTCTATTAGTAAATTTACAGAAGAAGCTCATGCCATTGATCTACACCGCCAAAAAGCTTCCATCACCTTTCCAGCAAAGTATTAGCCCTTTCCTTCTTACCACGGTTTCTGACCTGTCAACCTTAGAACAACATCGTATAACAACGCAGGAAGTATGTGACCGACTGTAGTCCAATAATGATGTTTAAGGGGGTTGGACTGGAGTTTAACATTGGGACGCCTTATTGCTTGTTCTAAAGGATTCCTCTTGAATGTCAAATTTATGTAACTCTCTGTAGGAAAAATAAGGGTCACAATGTTTTGAGCAGCTCTTGTTCAAAGAATGAACCCACAGTTAGGTAGCAAATTCAACAGCCTTAGACATCTTGATGGTTTAGCTACCTAGCACATTATCCATACTACACCATTTTCATGGCCTGAAGTCAAACATCTCTGTGGATTTAGTGGCACATTCAATCATAATAACAAATAACATGTTAATGTGTTAATCGTGTAAACATGGGTTTGTCATGAGGAACAGAAGACAGAGCTAGTCACCATTACCTTGGGCTTCTTCCTGTAATCCTGAGGTAGATATCATACAGGAATGCTGGGGCCTTATGGCTTACAGCAATCCAGTAGTGATATAAAAGGTGATTGGAGGTTAGATTTACATTGGGCCGTCTGAAGGCCTGTTCGAGAGGGTTCCTCTTGAAAGTGGATATTACATGGTATTCTAAGAAAGAAAAGTTGTGTAACAGCTTTGATAATAACCATTTAAATGTAATGGACTTCCATGGACATAACATACAAGTACTATTCTCAATGAATCAAAGCACATCTTTCGTACACATCTTTCACTAATTAGCAATGTTCAGCATTCATTCAGTTCAACTGTCAAGCCTAAGTAGTCTCTCTCACTGGAATTCTTTTGGTGCTTTTAAGTGCTCCACTGATTGCAGCTTCATTTCCTGTTCTGTGCTCTCTCTGTTCCTCTTTCCTACTTAATTATTAACCTTGTGTTTGTAAATAATTGCAAATAGAGCTCCACTGGCTGACACTATGCTATGACCTATGTATCACACAACAATTTGTAAGTTGCATTACAGATTAACCCAACATTTTTAATTAGCTCAGGTATCAAACACATCTGAATTAAATTAAGGAATTGTTCATTAAGGTTTATTTTGGTTTCTCAGACTGAAGGCCAGAATCTGTAATCTTGTACTGTCTTAACCCAACTTCCAGTGAAATAAAGAAGCGTTCTTACAGTAAAAAGGAAGTCCTCCAGAAGAGGAAGATTTATGCACTGCTTTTGACATTCTGACTAGACAGAAAAGAAGATGGTAAAGAATAATGTTAAGATTATATGCAGGCTATTAATTACCTGGGAAGAGATGCTGTAAAAAATAATAATCCAGAGATGTAAAACTTTAAACAAATTATGTTAGTACGGTTAGAAATTGGAAAATAACTTAGTTCTATGTAACTGCTTTTTTTATATATCACTGATTCCTCAAAACTCAGCAAATCCCATTTTCTCATGGGCTGTAAGTTAGATAAACTATTTTACCCACCCACCGCTACCCATCAACTGCTGCTACTCAATATCTAGCCTTGAAACATTTTTTTCTCCTTGCAGCTTACCTTTCCCATATTTTAAGCATTTAACTAATGCTCATTGCTTTTGTTTTAACATTTTAGTGTAAGCCACTTTATGAGGTTTGCTTGAAAAGCTACACAGTGGTATCTTGATTCTTGAATGGCTTGGCCCCCAAACAAATCGGCTCCGGAACGCCGCAAACCCGGAAGTAAGTGTTCTGGTTTGTGAATGTTTTTTGGAACCCAAACGTCCAATGTGGCTTCCGCTTGACTGCAGGAAGCTCCTGCAGCCAATTGGAAACCATGCCTTGATTTTCAAATGGTTTCGGGAGTCGAATGGATTAAGTTCAAGAACCAAGGTACCACAGTACATATAATGCCTGCAAACTCCACGCTGGTGCAGAACTGCAACTCTTGGCCCTCTTCCCTTTAAGAATCATTATAATGTGCTTTGCTCTGATGTTATAACTCTGATCAAAGTACTGCTATCAATTGTAGTCCAATACTTAAGTAAAACCAGGTGTGTATGTACACTGTGCTAAAAAAAATGTAGGAGCTGGGTACTGGTGCAGTTCAATTTGGTAGAAAAATTGAAATATGTGGGCTGAATAAGTTATGAAAATCTGCTTAATGTTTACATTGTTTTGAGTTATTTATTTTATATTTTTCACTATTTTGCATATTTTGTTCTAGAATCATGGATAAAGCTAAAGGAGTTCTACAGACTACTGAGGCTCTGCCCTCAAACCACTGGTAAATCTCAATCACCATTCTGCCCTCTGTGATTTCAGCAGCTATTACCCTCACACTGAAACACTGCTTTGAAGCTGTTTAAGGGTTACATGTTCTCTCTGAAAACTCATGCATTTCTGTAGAACCACAGCATAAACACACACACCACTAAGTAAAGCCTCTTTTATACTATATTATATTTTTATTACTTTTGTAATGCTTTAAAAAGGCAAATATATATATTTGAAATATTTGGTACACATTGCTCTAACACTACATGCATACACTAAAATGCTGTGTCACACAATGTATTTTCAAGCATACGTAGCAAAACAATCTTCTCCCCTATGAGCTTAATGGTTCTAGCAGTCTAGAAGGACAAGTATCTATGGAGAGAGCAAATTTATTTGAAAAGCTGCTCCCAATCAGAAAGCAGGGACAAATCAACGCTTGGTCCTTTAAAAGCAATTCTTATTTTTTTTTAGTGAATCTTCATGCATGGCTTTCTAAAGGTTCACCAATAAGTTAATTTATTAAACTGCAGAGGAAAAAAAGAAGGCATACCAACTTCACCCCAATGGAAGGGATTGGTGCCACCCGTAGTACAGTTGTATACCATAATATTTCTTGGTCTGAAAAACAAAAATTAGTTAAATTATTTTCTATATTATCATTCCTCTTAAGACAAAAGAATAGTTCACATAATAAAAAGCAAAAAAGAAAAAAAAAGGTAAAAGTAGCTAACCAATACCACAGCAAATAAAGGTAAAGGTAAAGGGACCCCTAACCATTAGGTCCAGTCGTGACCGACTCTGGGGTTGCGGCGCCCATCTTGCTTTATTGGCCAAGGGAGCCAGCGTACAGCTTCCGGGTCATGTGGCCAGCATGACTAAACCGCTTCTGGCGAACCAGAGCAGTGCACGGAAACGCCGTTTACCTTCCCACCGGAGTGGTACCTATTTATCTACTTGGACTTTGACGTGCTTTCGAACTGCTAGGTTGGCAGGAGCACGGACCGAGCAACGGGAGCTCACCCTGTCGCGGGGATTCGAACCGCCGACCTTCTAATCAGCAAGTCCTAGGCTCTGTGGTTTAACCCACAGCGCCACCCACATCCCTACCACAGCAAATAGTAATATGAATAAGAAGCCAAGGATTTTTTTAAAAAAACCACTTTGTAGTGTAGCATTTATAAACTGATTCAGTGGATTTATTAATTACTCAACACCAGTCCTGGCCCAACTGTACTGGCTGCCAACTGCTTTCCGGGCCCAATTCACAATGTTGGTTTTTACCTATAAAGCCTTGAAACAGCTTGGGACGACAATACCTCAAGGACCACCTCTCTCCATATGAACTGACCTGCACCCTGCACTCCTTATCTGAGGCCCTTCTTTCTTTGTGTGCACCTTCTGTGAGAGGTTGGGAGGGTAGCAACACAAAAATGGAACTTTTAGGTGATGTCTCCCTGCTTGTGGAATGCTCTCCCTATCTATAGGCACCAGGCAAAAACATTCCAGGCCTTTAGCTAATTAAACAATCTGACATTTTAAATGGGGGGGGGGGCATTACTGTTTCTGTTTGTTACTATGTTCCTATGTGATACATTTTTGCTGTTTTATATTTTATTTTTATTGGATTTTATTGACCTAGACAAAGGCCATGGCAACATCCAAAGGGGGGGGGGCAGCAGTTGCTACATATGCAGTAAAACCACGGTCAAACCCACCAAAATTTATTATTAAACAGAATAAAAAGTAATTTTCAAATAAAATGTGTAAATTAGATCTCTGAGTACCCACTGTGACTGACCACTAGCCCATCCAGATCTTTCTTCCTAATCTTCCTAGCTGCTAAGTCATAGAGGGCCACTCAACACATTCCCCTGGTGGAGATATAAATTGCCCTTCCCTGGTCACCGGTTCAACCACTTGATGAATGGAACACCTGTGTGTGCATAGGCATTCATGTGAGTGAGTGTTTGGATAATAAAATAATAAAAGTAGGAGACAAACTGGAAATACTCTTACTATACATCTAAGAACAGCTTTGGACCTGCCAGAGAAGTGGGAAGAGGAAGCACAGAGGATGTGTTTCTTTGCGCTCTTCGGATGAGAAACACCAATATATATGTAATGAGGAAGTCCAAGTCACATTGCTTTCTCTTGTGTTTCTTCTCTAGAACTTCTGTAATACTTCAAAGTAATCAGTATTGGGGCATGGAAGCCTCACATAGGAGAGTATTCCAGCATTACAATGCTGCCACCCAAAACTTTCACATTTAACCGAGGGCAAAGGCAAGGAGTTCACAAAGCTCCCAGGGACTGCCCACTAGGATTCTGAAGAGAAGCAATGGGAACTAAACTGCCACGAGCCCACAGCTGAAGAGAAGTGGAGTCAGTAATCAGGGTAGGTAGACTATGTTGCAACACCATCATCCCCCAGAAAATTAATAACTCATTCCCTCTTATCTATGGATACAGATGAGTTTACCCCAAATATGGTTTAAACTGAAACAAATAATGTTAGTGCAGCTAGAGTGATGCAGCCCCTATACACAGATGTCTGAACTGCTGCAGAGGTCTCTGGGGTCTGTCATTTTACATCTGGAGAGACACCAGCAAGATCTGAAGCGGGGTGAAGTTGTGCTCAGTACAGGTTGCCTCCAATCCTGCTTGCACTGCTCTCTTTGTGAAGCAAAAAAGCATGCCACGGAAGTCCTAGCAACAATGCAGGGGCTTCTCAGGAAAAAAACTGTGCAATTTGCCATTGTTTGACGCTTGTCCGAAACACCCCTTGAGCTGTATGCACCTGGGCCCTGTACTAAATTTGGGGCATGAGACAGTCGCAATGGTAATGGAAGCAATAAGAGTTCCTTGTGGCTATAGAAACAGAAAGCACAATCCCATACTGATGTAAGCAAATCGTTTACTATCATAAGACCACCGCTTAGTCAATTTTTAAAAAATGCATTGTCACCTGTTATACCTATTAACTCCGGAATACCAGGCAGCAGCTATTGTTGCGTTGATGACTACATCTACTGGAATAAGATCTGCAACTGCATTGTTTGAGGCTCGCATCGTTCGAAGGATTCCTTTTCCTGCCTTAAAACAGAAGGTACAAGATAAGAAAGCCATTTCAAGCCACTTTAGCTTTTCAGAAAAATATATTTGTCTACATTTTAACTTTTACTTACAGCAATAAAAAGGCCACTAGGTCCATTAAAGTTATCAATCCATCCCTGTTTGGAAACAAAGCATAAGGAAGATTTACCGGCTTACTTGCTATGAAAATAAACTGGGAATCATTTTGCAACTGAGTAAATGTCACAATATTTCCATTTTTTATTTACAATCCAATTTTATATTTATATATACTGCCATATGCATACACAGTATATAAACATTTTTTTCTTTTTGACAAACGTTTTTGGACAAGGAAAATCAATGGGGTAAGAAGAGGAAGACATTAACTGTTTCAGTCATATTAAGAAAGCATTTTCAAAACAATTCACAAATATATTAATTCCATAGCATAACTATGCAGTTTTCACAAAACATTTTTTTCATTCAACAAGTAAAATATTTAACAATAAACTACTTTAGAAATGTATGAATAGTCAATATGCTAAGAATAAGCCCATTGGCTCATTGCTTGCTGATTTATCATTAGGCAAGAACCATTTCTTCTGAGATAATTAAAATGTTACCATAAGAAACTCAAGGAGTAGCAACTGTAATATGGGAAGTGATACTAAGTGTAAGGGTATTATTTGGAAGAAAGTCTGATTCAGGCATAGGCAAACTCGGCCCTCCAGATGTTTTGAGACTACAATTACCATCATCCCTGACCACTGGTCCTGTTAGCTAGGGATGGTGGGAGTTGTAGTCCCAAAAAAATCTATGCCTGGTCTTACTGATCATGTAACATTGTGATTGTATGTTACTCATTACAGGCATAAGGTGCTCAGTACTGATAAACCATAAGCCCCAAGTAGTGCTTCCTTATGGCCTACATCCATTTATCACTTAGCTCCCTTTACACAAGATTTTAAAAGAGATGGCTTAGACCGATCCGGAGTCAATCTGCTTTTCACACAGCCCTGGCCTGTGTCCTAGTAATACAGACTGAATCAATAGTAAATAATGACTAAGAAATTTTGCTAAAAAAAGGTTAAGGTTGACTTACTGGGAAAGGCTCCTTCCAGCTGGCACCCACAATTGATGGCCTTATAATGGCTACATTTAGTTTTGTACCTTCCAGTTGTACAATGTATTCTGCTAAGGCTTTTGTATATGTATAAGTATTAGGCCTGTCTCCTATTAGTTTTGGTGTAATATCATTCACTAGGCTGTCATCCATCCACCTAAAGAAATAAACATATTTATTCATTTACATCCTATCAGTCAACTCAAAAGCACCAAAGATGGCTAATAAAATCTGTTCTTCATGAAAAAATCAAAGTTATATATATATATATTTTAAAATACGACCACTTAAAAAGTTTAAAAGAAGTTTGGAAAAGCTTTTCTAGTCTGTGGAGGGTTAGAGTCAAAAGTCTCTCACTCAGCCTGCTGCAGGTCCAGCTGAACAGGGTGGGCACTGGCATCATGCTGGAGGGGAATTGATGAAACTCAAAGCAGTCATGTTTTCCCTGGGCAACCTTGGATTACTCATAATTGTAGCTCATTTTTAAACAAAGAATGTCATCTTAACAAAACTTGACAACTCATTTGTTACTGAAATTCTGAATGGCCACGATTTAGGTGTCATTTGTGTTAACACATTTGTGTTATTTGTGCATTAACTGCACAAAGAAAGAAATGTACCAGACTGAGATGTTACTTCAGTGTTGACTATAAGAACATTTAAAGATCCCACAAGAGTTCATGCTCTTTTGTTTTCATTTTCCTTTAACACACTTTTGGTTGACGCCTCTACTTCATTGCTGTAGTCATTATTTACACTTGAAACAGAATACCTAAAGTGATGCAATTTTTACTCACGGAAATTCCATTAGGAAAATATGCTCCTTTTTATAGTTCAATACAATTTTTTAAAGAATATTTCCTAATTTATCTTCCATCTGAAACAATTATATTGAACAGCAGATTACAGAAACTGGTTTCTAATTTAAGACGTATTTTGATGCCTTAACCCCATTCTGCATTTCAGTAGCAAACCCTGAGTCATAAGGTAGACTTTCCTTTTTTCTAGCCAATGTATTTCAGAGAGAAGGCATTTCCAAATAAGCCCTACTTTTCTAATTGCTAAAAATCACCTTAGCATATGGCCAAGATCAGAACCAGCAATGTTCAATCCATTCTCATTTTGTATCAGCTATAAAAAAACTTTCCAACATTTTTCAGTTTTGAAAGCATGAAATAAAAGGGGAGGGAAGCATTAGACACATACTCTAAGGAATCTATTAATTTCTTAGGATCAACAGGGGGTGGATAGACCACTTCCTCAATGTGTTTTCGGTTGCAGTATGCAAATGCTGTTGAAACATGGATAAACACATCTAGATTCTTCATTTTCTGGGCCAAGAAGAGAAGTTGTTGTGTCGCAATTACATTGAGCTGAACAGCATCTCTGTTGAGAGAGAGAAAAAAAACAAGTGTACTAAACAGTACTTTCAGGTATCCAAACTCAACATGTATGCACAACAAGATTCCTTTGTGATTTGCTGTCTCCTAGCTGTTCAGGAAACATAGCCTGGTCAAATCCAGCTGCTACTAGTGTATCTGCTGAAAACCAACAGGATCTTTTGTGTCAACAGATGGAAAAGGCAAGTGTTTCCAGTAGCATGCAGCTCACCTCTAATCTTCTTGGCACACTTCTATCCAAATCCCCCATTCTCCTCTTACAAAGTATAAGAAGCTTTATGTTTTCTTAGGTTGGGAGGGTACTCAATAATGTGGTTCCAAAACTTCCCTCACAACAGCACAGACTAACATTTCTTACAAATTGAGCATTAGGCTTTTCTTATCAACTAAATGATGCCAAAATCAAGTATATTATATTCTTCAAATGACGCAGGTCACATATTTGCTGTAAAAAAAAAAGGTGACACTGGGACAATGAACAGATATATAGTCCAAGCGTCACATGTCACATAAACTGAACCCCACTATTTGCAGGTTCTTGTTTAAAGGCAATCATTACACACAATAATGCACAAACAGGAGACAGTGTTGAAAATTTTGGCTGGGTGCTATGAGAAAGGATGAAGGCAATGAGTAAGAAAACAGGACTAGAGACATAAAGATGTGAAGTATGCAGAAGATTCAGCACGTTATCTCTCTCCACAGTAAGAGGATGGAATTCTTTTCAATCTGGAGAGAGAAAAATTGCTAACTTAATTCTAGAGAGACTACTGCAGTCAAGTTGTGACAAGAAAAAAATAAGTCTATCTTGGAAGCATCAGAACCCTTAGGCAATACTTAAGTAATTCCAAGATAAAGAAACAATAAAACTTTGATTAGATGCAAACTTCTGAACTTGTGCGTTATACGTGCAATAATAAAACTGAGCCACAGACCTCCTCCTTTAATATCTATCACTCAATGAAAGAATCAGCTAATCAAGTAATCCAAGAGTCAGAACACCTGAACTACCTCAGCCAGATTAAATATGCAACAATTTGCTTTACCGCCTGCCAATCTAGCAGTTCGAAAGCACCTCCGGGTGCAAGTAGATAAATAGGGACCGCTTACCAGCGGGAAGGTAAACGGCGTTCCGTGTGCTGCGCTGGCTCGCCAGATGCAGCTTTGTCACGCTGGCCACGTGACCCGGAAGTGTCTGCGGACAGCGCTGGCTCCCGGCCTATAGAGTGAGATGAGCGCACAACCCTAGAGTCTGGCAAGACTGGCCCGTACGGGCAGGGGTACCTTTACTTTTACCTTTAATTTGCTTTACACCCAGCTAGTAAAAAGTATTGGAGCTACAACACTCTATACCGTACACTAGACTGCACCAAAAAACACAATGCAAAAGAAGATGCCTACCATAATGGGAATGTGTATGAAGCAACAGCGAATGAGACATACCACTTTTGAATTTTGTTTCTAAACTGGTACCGCTCCATTTCACACAACTGTCAAATGAAAAGTTGGGCTAATACCTTTTACTCTTCCCTTTTCTAAAGTTTAAAGTGCATAGAATGAATGCATATGTTCTTATTGTGAGCCAAAAGCATTTAGGCAACCAGGGATAAAGCATTTACTTCTTTTATAAAGGTTACAAGATGACTAAGGTAGCTTTAAAAAGGGAACCAGAACATATTAAATTAATAGTTCAGACTCACCTTAGAATTTCATTGAATCTTACAGTAGCAGCGCAGTGGAATATAATGTTAGTGCAGTTTATGAGGTTCTCCTTGTCTTCCTCACTAAGGGCCATGTCTACTTCTGTAAGGTCACTGGCAACTGCTATAATTTTTTCATTAAATTCCGGCTGTTCATCTCTCAATCTGTCAAAGAGCTGTCAAAAGAAAACAGGACCAAATATAGCTAAGAGTGAATATACAAGGTCAAAAGAAAGTGTAATGACCGCAAGGCAAGAATACATACATATTCCTCGCTCAACTGTTGCAGTATTTTCTTTCCTCAAAAGAAGCTTTTGAGGGGCAACTTACTCAAGTATATGCAACTAATTCCATATTCAAAGCAAAGCCTTTTACATTATGCATATTAAAAGGCTTTATATTTCTTTTAAAAAATGAAAGTATTTTGAATGTTTCAACAAACTGTTTTCATCCATTTCAACCGCTAAATATATCTCTACACCAAATGGCAGCAATGGACAACGCTGATGGGTATGGTTTTCTTTGAGAAATAATTTCTTCCTTCTACAAAGAATCTGAATAGGAATAAAACAAGTTCCTCAGTTTAATCTTTATATATTCCTGAAGAGCTTTCTTGCTGGGATTATTACTGAGTTTCACTGCCTACTTCAAAACTTATGCAAACTAGCATAGCTAAGTTCTGTTTACATGCAAAAACAGTGTTAACTGTGGAGTTAGTATTTCGCTTACATGTTGAAATCCATGCTCTAAACCATGGGTGGTAGCTTTTTTAGGGTCCAGGTTCAACCTTGATTATAACTCCAGGGACGACATGCCAACAATGAGTATGCTCCCTGCACTCTGTCCCTCCTCTCCAAACACTCACTTACATGAATGCCGATGCACACGCAGGTGCTCCATTCATCTAGTGGTTGATCTGGTGACCCGGGAAGGGCAATTTACATCCCCAACAGGGCAATGTGTTGGGCAGAAAGGTTCAATCTCAGCACTTTCTTTTGCTGTCTCTGTCAAAATCAGTGAGGTCTTGGGGAGTCAGAAATAACTGCTTGATGGACAGATGAGGCTCCCAGGCCAGAGGCTAACCACCCCCACTGGATACAAAGCCAGTCCAGCCACTGGAAGTGGCCTTATCCAGGTTTAGAGCCAGTGCAGCAAACAAACAACAATCAATTATGCAGAAAACAGCACTGCCATATTCAGCATTGGCTGTCATGAGTAGCAGATATAGTGATGGCTCAGCAACTCTCTTTTGCCCCACTGCTCCTTAGATGAGAGATAGAATTGCTCAGTTCACCAGTTTACTTTTTTTCATATATAAAAAGAGATAGGAGGTTGAAAACACTGCTAAAAATAAATCCATCTCAAGTAAGATCTATCTCTACACACTTAAAAGTATTGATACAAAGTAGTATTAGTTTCTCCTGCAATTTAATGTTACAATTAACTATGGATGAGAAAGGAGTTAGCTAGTTAATACTTATAGCTCTGGTAACATGCCCCTTGTGGAAAAATGTAAATTATATTTCAGCCCACTGAAATTGCTATTGTGGCCTAGGACACATATCACTAATTATGTTAGGTTGCTACTTGGTTAGAATGAGCACTCCAAAATTTATATCCTGTACAGACTTTTTATCTATATAATATATTGGGAAAACAAGTATCCATCAGGATCCAACATCAGCACATGGTACTTCAAATTTACATAATGGTCTAAACTACAGAGCCCAATATAACAGGCATGTTCCATGCAATCTGTACACCATTTCATATATGAATGAGCTTACATGCATTGGACTCTGCAAGCGTAGAGCCTTATGGATGGCACCAATCCAAATTCCCCCAGGCAGGTAAAATGCAATCAGCACCACAATGTATGTAGTTTAAGAGCACAAATCTAAGGGGATAACTATGTGAGATGGCAACACACACACTCCTCTGCGACAAAGGTATTTTAAAAAGTTTTCTGTATCACTGTTACTCTGGATGAGAGACTAAAAAATGCTTCCTAGTTGATTTTACTATTGATACAAATGGTCTGGATATAAACTCACTGTACTAAGAAAATGCAGTTTCAAATCTACAAATTATCACATACTAGTCCCGCCACATAACATGTGGCTCCCATGTGGCCCATGGAATGAAAAGTTCCCCATCCCTGTACTACCACATGTATTCTCACTATTATTCAAAACTTTGTTAGAATATTCTTTTTAATGTCAAATTCAACATAGCCATTTTATGGAATGATACCTTGCAGCTGATCATTTCCTCCACGCGTTCTTGAGAATTCTTTCCTGCTTTGTGTCTAACCAACACATAAACCGTTTTCACCTTCGGACAGGACCTTAGTAGCTTTTCCAGAAGAACTTTTCCCATGAAGCCAGTAGCTCCAGTGAGGAGGACATTCTTGCCTTCATAGTATTCTGGGATGGATACCATCATGATCTTAAGAGAATTTAAGAGTAAGTTAGAGTTTGTATCCGTACTGGCCCTTAATCACATTTTATCTGCTAAATTCTTGCCCAATTACATTTGAAATTCCATTTTTACAGAAACATAATATTCAGCCTAGTATAAATGGTATGACCTCTAGTTGCTGCTAACCATTTTCCTTAAACAAACAACACTCAGATACAAAACTGTTCAATATAAAATACTGAGTTTCACCCATTGAGAGTACTAAGCTGGGCCTCTCTGGTTGACCCTGCATCAGGAACCAGGGGGATAAGCTTTTCAGAGAAAGCTACCTTGACTTTCCCAGCTTCCAACCTCTTAGCTAGCAGCCTATATTTCACTTCTAGGACCTCTCAACTGCATTTTCCCATCACAACTACATTTCCCCATGTCACTGGTGTCTACATGCACCACGGTGACTGATTCCTCCCCAGCACCATCCACCAATCTAGACAATGTGAGACACATTTGCAACTTTCACACCAGACAGGCAAGTCAGCATGCCCACCACACACCAAGCTATCTATGTTCTAAATGACTGATTCTTCGCCTGACGGGATAATTCCACTCTTCAGAGATGTATTCTTGGCATAACAAAGTATCTATGCACCCCTCAAATGCATAGGTCCTTTTTAAGGGATCACTTTTGTCCTCCTCAGGGTGAGGTCTTCCTCATTCCCCTAACACCAGGGGAGCTGTCAGCTTGGGAGTGGGACACAGCTTTTACATCTCCAACTGCCTTGTCCACCAACCTTTCTCTACTTCTCCTAGTCACCATCTTGTGTCCTGAAGACCAAGAGCTCATTGAACTAAACACATACCCACAACTTCTGTTCAGCAAACAGGCTGTCATACATGTGACATTATGTGCAATACATTGGAAAGTCCCCATGTCTCTGCTGGCATACCTCTTTTTCTAGTTTGTTGAATTTCTGTACCTGGGAACTAACAAGTGAAAAAAGTAACAGTGATATCAATAATCTATTGGGAAGATGGTGTCACATTTTTGCCTGCTACAAATGATAATAGCCACAGACCATTAAAACATGCAGTATCCCTGTGTCTAATATATATGTGGGTTATACATTCCAAATTGGAAAAAATGCGTATTTCCTTTTTTTAAGAAAACAAAAATGAGTCAATTATCCAAAAATAATTGTTATATCCAGTGCTTTTTTTTTCTAAAAAAAAATGTTTAGGGGCATGCATACCCCTGCATCCCCCCAGAAATAAAGCACTAGTTATATCTTTCACTATACTGAATCAAGGGCAACAATGAACCAGAAACTCAGTGCTTCATACAATTTGAAGAAAATATTTTAATGTAAAAAGTGCTTTGCAGTATTGCCGATACAATCCAGTACTCAACTATACTAAAGATTTGTGAATCTGTGGGGGTGTGAACAGAGAACTAATTGTCCGACCAGGACTCAAGAATGAAGTATATTCATTACAAGATGTGCTACAGTTAACACATTTTCAGCTGAATAAGAGGTTTTGGTTACTTTCCCCACACCCCACACAAATAATATCTTGAAGACTTTGATCCAAATGCAAAAGCTACACAGATGGCACATGGCTATTCTAACAAAGAAAGGCCTTGAGAAAACCGTAAATTTATTAGTTTAACACTGAACCCCCTGTTTGCTGGAGCTTCAGACTGTTGCTCCATATCACAATAGTGCTTATAGTACTCAGTGTAAACTATATCTCAATCTACATACGTTAACTTCTATGTTAACCAATTAATCAACTCATCATAATACTATTTACACTACTGATTTTGTTAAGCGAAGATCAGGTTGCTGACATATATGCATAATACTGACATTTCACATATCAATCAGTTATTGAAAAATATTACACTATATGCATGACAGTTGAGGTCCTTAAAAATATGTCATAAGAAACCTGATTTTAGGATTTAAAGCTGGAAATACTCTGAAATACAAACAAACACTTATGGGGAAAATTTTCCACAAATGATCAGTTTTCACAAATGAAGCCTAAGAGTAGGCTCATTTAGTCAAAAAGGCATGCAGAAGTGCATATTTGGTTACTGGAATGAATTTGTATAGCATATCTAGAATTAAGCATGCACATACTTGTGCATTCATGGGGGGGGGGGGAATGTTACACACAAAGCCTTCAGGTGGGCCTTAATTTATTAACTATGCCGCAATAACTATCAATTCAACCAAATGAAGGATAATCATAGTAAGTGCATATTTTGTTTGCATTTATTTAAATAGTGGCAACCACTTTCCTACCATACCACAGCCCCCCAAATTAAGTCTCACCCCCACAAGCTACTATTTGCCCTAGGAGGAAAGTAGCTACTGGTGTCAAAAATAGCTTCCCTCTATGGGCAAAAAGCAGCTGTTGGAGTTAAAACTTTCAACTGGGATGGCAGGATGGGGAGAATGGATTAAACCCCCTCTGCCCGGGCCATGGCCCTATTGTGGATCAGTGGTCCCTTGACTGCTATTTACAGAACAAAATGTAATGTTGGCCCTCAGAATGGGTAATATGAAGGTTCTACTATGGTCCTAACATATTGCTTTACAGTTTTCCCTATGAGAGAAACTACTGTTCTTGTTGATTGCAACGAAACACTGCCCTGAGATAATAAGGTCTCAAAAGCAGATGTTATGATCAACATAGCAACAGTTACATGCAACACCTCCACCAAGTTATATGCAGAGAGTTATCACCAACACATGAGACTACTTCAGAATGAAGCTATAACCATGGAAACTTGAGATATACAGGGAACTAAAAATCCAATCAGCCCAGGCTAGGCTACTATCCCTCCCTAAAAGCACCTAGGAGCACACAGATCTCCCCCATGATGCCTCCACTGGGCTTCACAACAGTTTTAGAAACTGATATATAAGCTAGATGCCAAATAGCACCTTAAAACTAGGTTACAGTTGCCACAATGGAATGTCTATTCGCCAGTGGGTTGGACTATAAGACCCTTGGGGTCCTTTACAACACTACATTTTTTTAATTGGGTTTTATAAACAAGAATCATGTTATACAAACAAATATCTATCAATCTATGATCCCAATTACATTGCTTGACTGCAGCTTGCTCTTAAAATAATTCACTTGTCCCACACACAGTGGAAACTGTATTAACTATGAACTAAGGCAGAGGTTTTTATACTTTGGTCGCCAACCTGGTGCCCAGAAATTTCTATGTCATCAAAATTGGACCCATAGCAGTAGCAAAACATGCATGGCTAATTCCTAACAGTGCTTCATAGCAAATATGTCTGCAGCCCTAGGGCACTCCTTCTCTAGGTCTAAGTAACAATGGCCTTTAAGCACAGGAAGCTCTTCCCTTATCTCAAGATATGGGTTGCAGCATTATGCACACATACAATCCTGAGTGAGTATTAAAGAGCTGAAAATCAGCTCTGTTCTACACAATTATTTCAATAGCTCAAATCATTTGTATCTCCCTAGTCCTTCAGTCCCAAGCAACTTACCCTTCCACAATGAGCTGGTTAGGCTTTGAAGAAATCTTGGTTTATCCTGAACTAAATAATATAGCTCCTCTCACTTTGGCCTCCAACTCCCTGCTCTGTGTCCTAACACTTTTTGCCACAAGAGTCACCAATGCTTTGTTCATCTTACTAGTGAAAGCAAGCAGCAGAAGTAGAAATAACTGGCATGGGGTTAGTTGCCAAACTGGAAAGACAGGAAAGATATCTTTGACAGAGTGCAGGGTTCATTTGTCTCAACTCATGGCTAAATGAGGATGCCGAAGTCAAGGAGAGCTACAGGAGTGTCCCTAAGGTTTGCTGAAAAACTGGCACCTTTAATGTATGTGTATTCCACTTGAACTGCTCACTAACGTTTAGAAACGTATAGAAAACCAGGGATTTAATTGGAATGTACTCCAATATGCCAGCCAATAAACGTTTCCTTTCATTGCTAATATAGCATGCATAACCAGTTAATTTACTCACAGATATTCCTGCTATGTGAACATCCACAACAGGTTGCTACATAGTAGCAACTAGTCATTGATTGTGGAGTATTCAATCTTGCAATTCAATCTACACTGCAAATGAGAAATAAAGGATAAGCAGGAATACTGTGCATGCTAGTTTAAATTTGACTTTGCATCTTTGTCACTATTTTCCCCCCACAAAAGATAAAAAGACCCTCAATGTGAGATTCCTAAATGTTATTTGTCCAGAATTTCTTGCAGAAGTGTCCACTCTTAAATGAAACAAACATTTATAAATTCAGTATTCAGGAGCATAACAATGCATTCTGAGGTACTGCCCTTTTGACAGAAATGTTTGATCAACAGTCTGATGGAAGAAACTTAAAAAAAAAAAATCCAAACAGGGACTAATAGCTCCAGCACTGTGGCCAACATTTCCTCTTAATAAAAGATTCTTGTGTCTAACGCTGTGTGAGCACCATTGTGGAGCATACAATAGTTGCTCTTGTTAGCCCCCATATACTGCAACATCTCTGCTTTGTTGGAAGTACAAGCTTTATTAAATCACATTCTTTTCAGAACTCAAGTTTTACAAATGGAAGAAGATATAGCAGACACAAGAGATAACAATTGTAGATAAAATGTGGACATATACCTAAGCTAAGCTTTTCTGGTTAAATAATATCGATAGGAGCTAGAACTTTGAGCTTTGCAGAAGGGCAACATAGCAAGATACAAAGAAAACACTAAATATATGGAGTTAATTTTTAATTTTGTACTATGCTTGCATCAGAGCCTGGCAGACATTTGAAATAATATAGCAAAAAAACACGGGATTTATTTAAAACTATATTAACTTAAAACCAAATATTTTATATAGTTGAACCTTAAAATATAATCTAATATTCAGAAGCACAGAAAACAGGTTCAAGATTATCTACATCAGGAAACAAAAATAAAAGAAGATGCTCCACATACTATGATTATTTAAATCAATCCAAGCTGGGTGAAACATCAAGACAGACAACAAGAGCACTGCTCAGTCAAAGCTTACCAATTACAGTAAACACTTTTTAGTTTTGTTTTCAAAACCAAGTATTCTATAGTAGTAGCATCCGCTCTACAGAGAATGAATGTTTTAAGGTTCAGCAGTTATCATTCCCACCATTTCTAAAGTGACGAGACAAGTACAAAACCTTATATAACCAAAATGTAAGCATCCATACATAAGAGGAAGTTATGGGGATGCTTGGTGGCCAATAAATGCTGGCTGACTGGTTGGAGGATGGAGAAGAGAAGAGAAGGGAAGTATGGATGAGTGCAGGAATGGAGTATCATGGGAAAGGACATGACAAAGTACCATGGACACTGAATAGAGCCCCACAGTAGCATTTTGTTGGAAGTCCCACTTATTCTATATAGTGAGTAACTTAGATTTTTGACTGCTTCTGTTCAGAGACTGAGCTACCTGCAACAAATTTAATCTAGTCTGGCTCTGTTTTTGTCTACTGTTAAATAATGGATGCAAACTCGCCAACTGGAAATAAATGTGAGCATGACAAAAGAATGATTAGCGTAGACTGATAGTGCACTCCTGGTTCTACAGCTGTGTCTGGAATTAATTCCAGATTGCAACAGCAGCCAGGGTACCATTGAAAAGGCCACAAAACTTTCCACTTAACACCCGCAACTGTCATTCATGTTAAATTATTGTGCATTGGGCTGTATTGAAAAACAGAAGTATCAGTATGCATATAGCACATCCAAAAGCATTTCCAGTATCATCGCCGGCATCTTTCAGGTACAATTTAAGGTACCATTTTGGGTCCAAAATAATATGGGTTGAATTATCAGAGAAAGTATTTGTTCATCCAATGTGTCTCATCACAATGTCCAAGTTCAAACAAAGACACCCACCTGTATGTCTTATCTGGCTGGCAAGGGTGTGTACAAAGTGGTGCACTTTGAAGCACCTATAAGAATGGACTGTTATTTTTCTCGAGTGTCAGAGCTCAAAAACATTTATGAATCATAAAGACCAATTTGGCCTGGATTTTAAAACTGAAGACTAAGTTGGGTGAGATTGTGCTAACACTAGAAACTTTTCATCAGTTTTATCCTACCTGTTTTATATGGTTTTAATATTAGCTTTCCTTTTCCTGGCCTCTGATATAAAGCAGGCTGCACATTTAAAATTGTTGCTTCCTAGTGATTTTCTTGAAGGCTGGAACAAGCTTAGCCATCTCCCAGGGAAGACCAGTTCAGGTTGGGACAAACTGCTTCTTGTTCTGAACTAGAAAATAGAAGTATTATATAATATAGTTATTTGCAATAATACATAATTTGCTGTTCTTACAATTAGAGGAAATCTGTTCAAGTATCAACTTTTGTTATAGTCTTGGCTACCTCACAGAAACTAGAGACCTTAAAAGAAAAAAAAATTAACATATTTCAACGTTTGATGCTTTAAGTTTTCTTCCATAGTGTGGAGAACTCCAAGGAATATAAATATTCCACCTGACGAAATGGAACTGATGGCACTGTTGCAACAGAATGGAACATGTTCACGACGCCAAAAAAAAAATCCTTTATTTATCTAAGGATCATGAAACATAGGATCATGAAAAGAACAAGACAACTAAGTTGAAGATATTATCTAAGCTTAGTGCAAAGTAGTTATATTAAAAGATTCATCAGGACCACATGGGGCTAAAGCTTGTTTTTCAGCAGAATCCCAAAGCAGGACCTCTATAAAAAAGGGATTGCCTCACTGACCTTCAAGCACTAGAAACTTTAAAGAAGGTATGTGCCAATTTGGCAGAGCTGACTTGAACACTAGAGATATGTGCCAAAGGCGAGTTCAACTCCTCATCAGAAACTCCCTGTTTTTTTACTTTAGGTAAGACCACACTTCAAGATAAATCATGGATTTATCCCACAATATCAAAGTCAAAGTTCTGTTTTAGAAAAGTACACAGATTGGTGGATCTGAACAGGTCAGGGACGAGTCAAAGCCGTATACTTCTGATCACTTAATATCTTAACATTTTAAATTATATATTTGCATTGTTCATATAATGGGATGGATGCTTTTGCAGCACTAATTGTCGTTTAGAAAATACCAAACATTAAAAATGAAAGTATCTCAAGATTACAAGCATTTCATTCTAACTGTTCAGTTAGCATTGAATAATATACTCTGTTCAATGCTATACATCACCCTGAAGAGGAGCATTAAATCCGTAGAGAGATGCAGTTAACAGGCTTGGCTCTTGATTCTCACTCAAACTGGATGTGAAATCAGAATGGTCACATATGCAAACATGAGTGAGTGCAATATAAATACTTCTCTCAGAAAGTGTTGAGTGCCTTTGATACTTAAGAGAATGGTAATATAGATTCAACTAAGTTGTTGTGCTTGCAAAAGCCAGTATTTTTGCGGGGAGAACCCTGAGAACAGAGCATAGGTTGTGTGTGTGTGTGTGTGTGTGTGTGAGTGAGAGAGAGAGAGAGAGAGCGTGCGCGCGCGCGCGCAAGGAGATCATTCCATCTAGGAAGCAGAAATACTTGCATTGGCAGAACCATACTGCAATGTTGAATCGCACCCTATTGTTTTTCTAGTGGGGGAAAACAATCATTACACTCTCTGATTTAAACAACTAGTGGCCAGTGTCTACCATCCCTTTTAGGGGCAAAATGTGCAAACATGTTGTGGCAGCACAGCTCCAGAATTTCCTGTCTGGCTTTCAATTCATTTCTGGCATTGAATTTGCCCTATTCACCTAAGTGTAAGATCTGTATTGGGACATTTACTATCTCAGTGGCTTTTGATACCATTGGCCATGCTTTTCTTATGGATTGTCTCCAAAAGATGGAAACTGGGGGAACGATGTTGAAGTGGCTCCATTCAAACCTGAGAGGACGCAGAAGGTGGTGCTAGGTAATTATGAGGTTCTGCAAGATTGTTTAATATCTGCATGCAACTGATGGCTGGGGTGCAGAGCTCTCAGTATGCTGCTGATACCTAACTATCTCTCATTTCCATCTGATCCTAGGAAGGGAGCTGAAAGGTTGAACTAATGCTTGCTAGCTGTGAGGCACTGGAACAAGCTGAAGCTTAAGTCAGACAAAACCTAAGTACTGTTAGTGGATGGACTTTGGTTTGGAGTGTGTTTTGGATGGGGTTAGACTCTACCTGAAAGACTATGTTTGTAATTGGAGGATATTCCTTGATCTCAAGTTGCCTGCAGACGGCAAAGGTGCAGGCAGTCAGAGGCTTTTTTGTTGTAACACTTATCCTGTGGAATGCCTTAACAAGGGTCAAACTATCACTATATTGTTTTAGGTGACTAGCAAAAACATGTCTGTTTTAAAAGGCTTTTACCAGACTGTTGGTGGCTTTGGGTTTTCATATGAGAGGTTGGCTTTGATGTCAGTATTTGTGATTTAAAGGGTATAGTTATGTAATTTATTATTATGCTTCAGGTTGTAAACCAGCTTGAGTTCCTTTCCAAATTAGGCAGAGTAACGTTTTGAAAACAAATATAAACAAAATAAAAGGCTGGGAGCTTGCCATACAATACCACTTGGAAAATACTGATCAACCCTTCCCCAGCCAGTTGAGAGGCGCTGGGAACTACCTGTACAACTTTTACTTTTAAAAAGGAGGAAATTTGATGATTTTGTACCCCGCTGCTTCCTTAGTTAGCCACTAATACCAACTGTTTAATCCAAATTCCTGGCCACTTGATAAAAGCAGTAAAGCCACTGCCTCTTCCACAGCCACACTTCTCATGCTGGCAAGGGTGAAAGGGAGAAGGAAGGAAAAAGTAGTAATAATAATATAATATTACTTGTATCCCGCCCTCCCCGGCTGAGGCTGGGCTCAGAGCAGCTAACATCATAAAAGTACTCCTTCACTGTGCCAGCTCCTGGGCTGACACAGTAAAGAGCCCTGGATCAAGCCTGCTGCACCAACAGTGACCCAGCAGCAGTCCACCAGCACTAGAAACATCAGGTTTTGGTGAGTGCTGCCAGTGGTAACATGTACCTGCCCTTCTTTGGCAGGGCTTCCCCTCCAACAGCAAAGCTCCCTATCAGCAGAGGCTTGCTCAGCAGGGCAAAGCTGGGCACTTTTGCTCCATCCAAAATCCTTCCAACACAGTGCATCAGAGGACTTGGTTGTTCTATGCACTAGCTAATAGTGTAAAGGATTTTTTTTTACCAGGAAGCATTTTCATATGTAATTATCTTTGCTGAAACTGTGAATTAAATACACCATAACTGGTTTCAGTAATATCAATACCCCAGTATGTAGTTCACTGCATGGATATTTCAGACACTGTCTTCTCAATTGACTACACATTGTGGCAAGAAACCAATTCATTCTCCACTCACCAGAAAGCAGAGCCATTGTAAACATACAACAGAACTAGTAAGGCAAAATGGTCTAATGGTGACAGTGTTGTTTGCTTTTACAAATTTGTTTCTGAATTTTAAACTTCACTATCTCATGTCAATTCCAACTCAGGTGGAAAATACAAGAGTGCACAAGCTTGCATCAACGGACTAACAAAGTATAGTATACACATAAACAGCAGCTACTATATTAAGAAGAATAAAGAACGGAAATGATAGTGGCAAGAGCGGTAAAAAAGTTTCAGGGCTTAACATGAAAGGTACATAATCCCCCCCCCCCCGGTAAGTTCTCTTTAAAGTTGTGAAAGAAGACCTTCTATTTACAAATTCAGACTTGTAAAAAGTTAATCTTTAAGACAGAAACTACCTTAATGACAAATATTAGAGTATTCCTCATTTTTTCCATAAAAAAAGCTTCCAATATACAGTTATCCAAATCCAGAAATATGGACTATTCAGATATAGTGATTACAAGTCACAGTCACTTTTGCCATTTAATTATCAGCAATGTGTCTCACATAGATTTTTATTTACTTTCTCACACCTCACATATCTTAAGTTTCAAAGTCCAATTTCTGTTTACATTTGAAGTAAAGCACCAAGTTTACTGCCCACATAAATATTTTCAAGTTGGCTTTGCAGCCAGCTATGGATTGCCCTGACTACTCCAGTAAATAAGAATTGTGAAAACAAAGATGGAAGAACTGATCCCAATAGTGGCTGGCTTGTATGATGCCATAGTGATCCTGCATGTCTCCTATACAGTGGTACCTCAGGTTACAGACGCTTCAGGTTACAGACTCTGCTAACCCAGATATAGTACCTCGGGTTAAGAACTTTGCTTCAGGATGAGAACAGAAATGGCGCCGCGGCAGCAGCGGGAGGCCCCATTAGCTAAAGTGGTGCTTCAGGTTAAGAACAGTTTCAGGTTAAGAATGGACCTCCGGAACAAATTAAGTTCTTAACCCGAGGTACCACTGTACTGTTTAAATATCCATGTGAAACTGCTGGGTGATGTTGCCTATAAGTTTGAGGTTTGGTGTCAAAGCTAATTACAGTACTCAAGTTTCTTTCAGATTTTCCCATCTGATCCTAGGGAAGTATTAGTTGTCCTAAATAGGTGTCTTGGATCACTGAGGGACTGATTAGTGAGTGAACAAAATAGTAATGCAGACAGATGAAAGTGCTGTTGACTGGAATTCTGAAACTGACTTTTAGATGCAGGCTATTTAAGGCTTTACTTAAAGGATGGACTGCTCCCATGTGAATCTACTGTTAGACATAGATCTTCCTCTATGTTCATCTACTATTTAAAGTATATTGGAGGAGGGATTACCTTTCAAGAGGCCACCAAGTCTAGAAGTCACTTCTGAGGAAAAATCAGATCCATCCTTTCGGGCATACCAACAGCTAGTAAATGTGCCCTTGGAGTGCTTTGGCAGCTCTATTTTTGAAGGGATCTCCCTCTTTGGCTTGATGTTTTCTTTGTTTCCTTGCTAGGATTTGTTTTGCTTACAGCTACTGGTTTTAATCAAATAGCTGTTGATTTTAATAGAGAGAATAGTTGTTTTAATATATAACTGATTGTTGGCTGTCTCATGGATGCTTTTTTATTCAAAAGCCAGAATGTAAAATATAAATTTAAAGTGCTGTTACAACCACCATAAAACTAGATATATTCTAAGATGTTCACCAAGGACATGAATGAAGGACTGCTAAACACTGGCATTTTTAAAGTGATTTTTCATTCCATGTGTCTGAAATTGATATATAATAAGGGATTTTGGATGGACCTAACACTTCCAAAGGTATCTGATCTGTTAAGTAGAATGTGCAGGAAGCAATGTAATGAACTGTGTAGGCTCTACACAAAGAGTAAATGAGTTAGAACAAACATCCCTGTAAATGTTGTTTACCTGAAACTTGCTCTTTGAATGACCGTATTGGCCTGAATATAAGCCTCACTTCTTTTTTTCCAAGTTCTGACCGTGAAAAGTTAAAGTGCGGCTTAAATTCATGACCTTACAAAAATTGGCTTTTACAATATCACTGCTGAAACAGACATACGGTAAAACGGAACAGGTATGAGAGCCTGCAAATTTTAAAGGAGCTGCTTATATTTAGGTACTGTCTTTTATTTCTTAAATTTTAAAGGTGTGGCTTATATTCAGGCCAATATGGTAATGCTTTACAAAGTCCTTTGAAACCTTGTAAACATTATCATTTGCAAGCATTAAAAATTCAATTGTGCATCTAGAGGTACCACTGTACACTCTTTCCAAAACCTCATTTTAAGTTAATTTCTTCAATGCTCAATTGATTTTCTTCCATTTTCATCTCATTTTCCATTATTTTGAAGTTTCCTACATTGTAGGGAAAGTAGAAACTGCCTTCTCTTTGGAATATCCTTTTAAATAATAAAAAGCTTTGAACACATACTTTGTATCAACATACCCAATTTATTTAGTCTTTACTTCAGACTTTTTACTACTTCTGCAGCTCTTTTCAGAATTTATTCTACTTTGTCAACATCCTTCTTGAACTGTGACATCCAGATGTCTCACTAGTGCTGAACAAAGCTCCATCTATACTTTTTATGGCTGCAATACTACACATATTTTCCTGGGGGTAAATGTACTGAACTCATTGGGACTTCAGACTAGAAATGTGTAAGATTGAAGAGAGAGCTGTGGCTCTTTTACATACACAAAACTTTTTAATTTTCTAACATCAAACTAGTAATCTTGGGTGTATTAAGGAAGTTTGCTTCGCTGTGGGTTAAACCACAGAGCCCAGGACTTGCCAATCAGAAGGTCGGCGGTTTGAATCCCGGCGACGGGGTGAGCTCCCATTGCTCGGTCCCAGCTCCTGCCAACCTAGCAGTTCGAAAGCACATCAAAGTGCAAGTAGATAAATAGGTACTGCTCCAGCGGGAAGGTAAACGGCGTTTCCGTGCGCTACTCTGGTTCGCCAGAAGCGGCTTAGTCATGCTGGCCACATGACACGGAAGCTGTATGCCGGCTCCCTCGGCCAATAAAGCAAGATGAGCGCCGCAACCCCAGAGTCGGCCATGACTGGACCTAATGGTCATGGGTCCCTTTACCTTTTACTAGGTTTTGCAATTGCAATTTCCTTAAGTTTTACTGCAAGCAGTTCCTTTTGACAGACGCACATTTCCTAACTTTGGGTGCTGCAAGAGATACACTCTTCCTTGGTATGCCAATTTTTTTCTTGCCAAAGCCAGTATTCACTATTATATAGGCATGACAGGGAAGTCACACTATGGCACAGATTCGCTTACACTGGAATAATGGCTGCCAAGACCCAGAGCTTTATTACAAGGGCCATATTCTTTATCCCCAGCACGGAGCCCCACCCAAGGGAACAATATCTTAAGGAAACAGCCAGAAGGCGTTAAAAATACCAGGGCGGGTTGAGAGTCATTCTCCACCTTCCACAAACATTTGGCCATGCCCAAGAAAGCTTGGTCCCTCATCATGAAAATTGTGCTTGAAAGACCTGCAGTGGGGGGGGGGGGGGAGCGCGCGTGTGTGTGTGTTTGTGTGTGTGTGTGTGTGTGTGTGTGCAGTTGCAAACTGAAGACTTCCTCGGTCTTCGTGCATCTCGCCCAACATGTGCTCATGACAACCCTATTACACAACCGCAGGAGAACAAGACATCAGCCCACGACCTAGAAACCGTTTTCGGCCGCTTCTGGATGGAAAGGGGTGAGGTGAGGAAAGCGAAGGAGAGAGGCAACCTGCGTTAAGTTGTCCCCAAGGCTCGGCATTGCAACGAGCGACCTCAAACTTGCGCGGCGCTTCTCACAGCCGCCCGTGCACCTCCACCTCCAGGGTCTCAGACCCAGGCGGCGGCAGCAGCAGCACATCTTTCCCCCTGGCTCCACAACTCGGCTCCGCCCGCGGTTTCCTGGCTCTCTCGGGCCTCCACATTCTCCACATTTTTAAGAAAGGGTACAGTAACAATGCCCTCAAATAAATAAATAAATAAATAAATAAATAAAATAAACTCGTGCTCCAGTTAACACTCAGGCCCCTTTCCACTTGGGGGTGCGGGGAACGGAACAGGCCGCCCCACAACGTGAGCGTCGTTTCCCACCCGGCCGCCCTCCCTCAACTCTTCCCAAGCCGCACCAGGAGAGTATCCGCCGCCCAGACGCCCCACCCACCGGCTTTGCTTTCCGAGTCTCCTCCATCCGGCAAGGCTCCCCTCAGAGGAAGCCGCGGCACCCCAGGGGCCTCTTCGCCTCATCTCCCCTTCCCCCGCCCTCCGTGGAGCGGAACTGCCCCCTCCCGCCTCACCCCCCTCCCTCGCCCACAGAGCCTCTCGCTCGCGACCTCCCCGCGGCCAACGGTCACCCGCCCAACCCGCCGTCCCTCACCGGCACTCGGATCCTGCCGCACGCACGACGGGCGGTTGCGCCTCCTCCCTCAGAGCCGGCACGCGCTCACCACCTCCCTCTCTCCCTCAAGCCCCGCCCGCTCCGACGCCTCCCTGAACGAATCCGCTTACTTGCTGCTGCAGGTCGTGGTGATGCTGCTGCCGCCCGCGGCTGTGGTGGCGTTGGTGCTGCCGCGCCGCTATATGTCTAACAAGCGGCCCTGGAGGAAGGAGAAAAAGAAGACGCGGGGGCGGAGAGATTAGCCCGCTGCGATTGGCGCTCGCGCGACGTTACGGCCGGCAGCGCGCCACTCTGCCCTACGCCGGCCGTCCCTGGTTGGTCGAGGGCCGCGGAGGCCCGCCTCCCGCCGTCCGCTTCGCGTCCATTCAGAGCGCGGGCGGGTTGACTGCCTCTCAGTTGCGGAGGGAGCTTGGCCAATAGAGGGAGAGGAGAGGGGCAGAGAGGGTCGACTCTGCTGCGTCTCGCCTGGCCTCGCCATTACCTTGGAGGCAGCAGCTCCAGGCGGATGTCTGTAGAATGAGCATTGTCATAATTAAAAAGCTGTGCACCGGCTGCGCCTTCGGCTCGGCATTGCTTATCACGGCCTTTCCCCGCTAGGCACGCATAGGTTTCCCGTGGTTGCGTCCGACTCGGGAAAGGGAAGTTGCCGCTGCTCGTCTAGACCTCCGGATTTCCATCTCGTGACCCATATCCTTACTATTTCCAAAAGCTGGTCCACCGACTCCTTTGAGTTATCTAAGTGGCCCCCTATTGCAACTTAATTTTTTCTTCAGTAACTTGGCGTTGAACGTTCGCACCCAGTCATCACGTACATGGACACAGTGGGTTTTTTTTTAAGAGACCTGCACAGATGTAACTATGGACATAGGAGCCAACTCCTAGGGGCCAAGGTCCCTTTGCCCCACATTCAAATAAAACATTTGAGGGGGTTGCCACCCCAAAGTTGATGGACATCGCCAGGGCTTTTTTTCTTAAAAAAATGTTTAGGAGTACTCATTTTCCTACTCATATTGAAATACTGCCCCTCAATGAGGCCAAACTTAGATTCACAAAATGTTTAGGGGTATGCATCCCCCAGAAAAAAAGCACTGGACGTTGCCATTCAAATAGTGTGCATGCTGTGGAAATGTTCAGGGTGGCAGGAGAGGATATCTTGTTTATTAATATATTTCCTAACTTGCGTTAGCAAGTTCCTTTACTTAGCAGAGTGCATTCCCTTTTTACATAGCAGAAAACTTGTTGCAAACTTGTGTGAGTTTCTTAAGGCAATATGCAATTCAATCTGGCTTGTCCAGATTGAAATGTGTTTTAATATTTTCCTGGTAAGACCCCTTGAATCCCTCCTAAAAGAATAAAGACATCACAGTCTTATTCATAAGTAACAAAAAGAAAGTTTACTCACGATCAGGCAGAGTACAGTGTGATCCCTGAAGGCAGGCTTTAGTCTTAAAGTTTCAAACATATACAAACAGGTTTACCCCTTAAGGGAGATTTACCTAGTGACTGCAGGCTAGCAGTCCAGCAGTTCACAGGACGAAAGGAAGATAGAAAAGAAAAAGATTAGCAGCATGCCTTGGCCTTTTACCATGTCTGGAAAGGTCACGCCCACCCACTTGTCACATGCAACGAAGGATGCTCCAGCCCAGGAGGAACAGAAAATTTTGACTGGCTGCACCAAACATTCCTTTGCATGTCTACTTTAGGAAAACAAGGAATGTTGTATTTGACGGCTCCCAATGGATTACACCCCACACATGCGCCACATCATGCGATTGATTATGCAGGGCAGGGCTTAACTGCCCTCCCCTCAAATATTCTATTCAAGTTGGCAGCCCTGACTATGGAAGTCTACAGTAGTTTTTCCAGCACAGTGCAATAGATTCTTTACCTTTAAGAAGTGTGGTACTGTCTGTTGAGGGTAGGAGGCATATCATTTATTGGCACATAGATTGTCTTTGGGGCTTTAAAGAAGCTTTGTGCATCATGGGTGTTAGCTAAGTGCTGGATCTCTTGACCTTTTTTAATCCATCAGGTATACAGTGTATCTTAGTTCTGTGTTTCTTCTTCGAACCTCAGCGTTAGCATTGGCTAAGATATTTGTCACATAATACTCGTTTTGCATTTGTAAGAATGCAATAATTTAGTGTGGCAACATCAGTACTTTGAAACTCCCTGCCAATTGAGATCAAGCGGGAGCCTTCACTGCACCCTTTTTGGCACCTGCTAAAAACATGCCTGTTTAGACAAACCTACCCAGATGCTTAGATAGTTCAGGTAATTTTAATCTGTTTTAGTATTTTAACCTTTTTTCTTTTAAAGTATTGTTGTGAATTTTTCTCAATTACAGTCAAACCTCTGTTGACAAATGTAATCAGTTCCGGAAGCCCATTCAGCTTCCAAAATGTTCGACAACTGAGGCGCGGCTTCCAATTGGTTGCAAGAGCTTCCTGCACTCAAGCGGAACCCGCACTGGACGTGCAGCTTCCGAAAAGCGTTTGAAAACTGGAGCATTTAATTCCGGGTTTTTGGCGTTTAAGAGCCCAAATGTTCCAAAATGGAGCCATTTAGGAACCGAGTTTGACTATATTTTGCTTTATCTTTTTGTAAACCACCTTGAGGTATTTTACAATCAAGTCATGTACAAAAATAATGAATACATGAATAAGCAATGAAGATGTGGGTCCTGGGGAAAGCGGGGTTTGTATGTGACACTTTTGGTATGGAGCTGCATCTTTACAACGCAATAAATGTTGGGTCTACTTAGGCCCACAACATTTCATTGCCTACAAGAGTTGAATTTATTTTATCTTGTCTGCTGTGCTTACACTGAACAAAATACAATTTTCTAAAAGTTTTCATCCTTGCTGTCAACCTCAAGACAAAGAAACCAACTTTCCAAATACTAAGCTTTATTTTTAAATAGAATATTTGATTGGCCTTTTACATTTGATGCTAAATAAACGTATTTACTCAAGAGTCAGCTGCCTTGTTTTCCTGGATGTGCAGTATTTGGATTCACATTGCACTGAAGAATCCTTGTAGAACTTTACATTTCCATAACAAGTAAAACCTGCTGTTCTGATCTATAACTTACCCTACCTTTATTTACCTTTTTGGCATTTACTTTATAGACACAGAGTTCTATAGTCTGTATAAAGTTATAAAGATTGTTGGGTCTCTGGACCATAATAAAGATTGATGATGATGAGTTATAAAGAAGTTGGTGCAAAAAGCTGTACCCATTTCAGCAACTGATGTACTGTACTCACAGTAATCTTGTTAAGTATGGTGATTTAATTCACTGAAATTGTAAATGCTTGTATGTATTACAATGTGTTTACATTTGATTGGTTGGTAGCTGAATTCTAGAGTATTCTCTAGTAGTTCTCATGTGATTGGCTAACGTCTAGTAAGGGAGAGACTCCATTTTATGTGAAGCAAGATGACTGTGTTTCAGAATCCACTGTGAACCCTGCTAAGTTGAATAGAGTGTTGGAGTGCTGCTTCTCTGAAGTAAAGAGCAAAACTGAAGGAGAAGGTAAAACTGGAAATCTCTCATACGGGCTTCAAGGCATGGCCTAATTGAGATACAGGCAGCTGAGTGCTGAGCTCTGGAAAGAAAGGAAAATAACAGTTGTTTGGAAGTTAGAAAAAGAGACTGAGCTCTTTTTGGGGGGTGGTTATTGGGTTGTTATTGTCTTGATTTTATGTATTTGATATTTTATGTGAACCGCCCTGAGACTTTCAGATATAGGATGGTATAGAAATTAAATAAAAGAATAAATATCCCATACTAAGAGGGATACTAATGATACTCTCACTGTGAAAAAAGTAGCTGTGAGCCTGCCTACCCCTTCCTGTCTGGCAGTACATGCCTATATTTTACCGTATTTTTCGCTCTATAGGACGCACCTTTTCCCCTTCAAAAATTAAGGGGAAATGTGTGTGCGTCCTATAGAGCGAATGCAGGCTGCGCGGCTAAGCCCAAAGCCAGAACAGTGTAAAAGTCCTGTCCTGGTTGGTAATGATTTGGGATACCGGGTTTACCAGCAACAACAGTCAACATTTGTTCCATTAAGGTTTCACCCACCCAGGTACAGGGAATGGAGAACTGGGGAACAACATCTCAAAGTTTGAGGGCTGAGGAGAACCTTGTCCCGGATGGGGAAGGTGGAAGTTTAGCGTCTGATGCTATAACTCACGAAACTACTGGGACTGCTGAGACTGTAGCATCTGAGAAATTGGTTGGGAGGAGGGTTGGCTTAATACGCACTGCCACTCCCTGTGTTAATTGGCCCTGCTCAGCGTCTGACGTAATCCCCAGGGTTCATCGAGTTGTTGTGCCTTCTTTTCAAAGTATGGACTCTGTTACTGGGACTCTACCAAAAGACTCAGTTTTGTCCCAATGGAACCAGCCTGACTTCCAGAAGAGTAATCCTGGTGGTGGAAATTTAATTCCCCAACCTGCAACTGTTGATGGGTTTACCTCCAAGGATTTTATGGGGGATCTTTTTGTTCCAGTTCCTGAACCCCAAGTTAGTGCAAATTTTACTTACAGGATAGCTGCCTGAAGCCCTCCAAGCGCAGCGCAAACACCCGCTGCGCAAACACCCGCTGCGCTCCCGAGGCTTCAGGCAGCTATCCACAAGCCTTCGGAGCACAGTAGACGTTCCCGCTGCGCTCGGAAGGCTTGCGGATAGCTGCCTGTTCTGGGGTCAGGGGAAGCTCGGGCTTCCCCCGCCCCAGCCCCACGGCTAAAAATGAAGCCAAGACAGTGAGCGGGATCCATCCTGCTCGCTGTCTTGGCTTCTGCCAAAGCCGCACGCAGCCTCTCTCGGCTGGAGAGGTTGCGCACAGCTAAAGAGGAAGCCAAGACAGCCAGTGGGATAGATCCCGCTCGCTGTCTTGGCTTCTTTGCTCTTTGGGGCTGGGGGGGAAATAAGATTTTTTTTCTTGATCCCCCCCCCCAAAAAACTATGGTCCGCTGCGCCTTATGGAGCGAAAAATACGGTAATGCCATGGCACTCGGGTTTTTCACTCCCACACTCCAGCCAATGATGTGGAGCAGGAACAAGGAAACCAAAGGTCTTTTTGGTCCAGGGTGGGGAACCTGTGGCCCAAGGGCTGCATGTGGTCCTTAGCCTAAATTGATGTGGGTGGTGGGACCTTGGAGAAAGGGCAGATGGCTAATGGAAAAGGTGGGGTCTAAACAGATGGACTTATAGAGGCGGGATTCCTTTTGGAAGCGATCACTTCAGACCTCCATCAAGGGCAATCTTTCTCTGCTCAAGAAACCTGCTGGGCCAGTAGGAACAGAGAGAAGGGGTTATCAGAAAGAGCCACCCACTTTCTCTGTGCACTATTGGCTTCTGCCCTGACCACCCTCGGTGTGTTGATCGCAACAGATTACCCATAAGGGAGAAAAATATTCCCTGTGATGTGTTCTGTCAGTTCCTTTCAGGTACAGGGACCTTGAATGACATTGAGCCTCCTACAGTTGCATTACTGTGATATAGGCTGCTTCTCTGGTGGGGTGAGTCATTTGGGTGGAGATTAATCTTCTGGTGGAGGATTGCAACCTTGGAATAAGAGCAGCACAAATCAAAGTACCGGTATGTAATTGCACCTTGAAACCTTAATGGCAAACTGTTTGTTCCTTCAGTTCCTAGAATTGTGGTTAGGAAAGCCATGGTGAAACAACTTCAGAGATTCTTAGACAAGGGTGGTTTTCTTGGTCCATGCCACTTTCATTGCAAGCCTAGGGTTGTGACTGAATTAGCCTTGGTTGTCCTTTAGAGAGAGGATGTGCGGAATGCCACCTTCTACCTAATCTTTTTTTTTTTTTTAAATATATTTATTCCAATTTTAGGATTACAAAAAAAAGAAAAAAACCATACAAAATAGAATAAACATATAACAAAAAACAGACAATAAGAAAAACTCAACAAAAAATATAAAAATACATTACAATAAAATAAAACAAAAATCAAATTAAACCTTTACAACCTTTTTTCCTTTTACTTATTTCCGTGACCTCCTCTCACCTCCCTGCTTTGTATTCTAGTTTAAATCGTATTTCCAGCAAATCCTTCTAACCTTCTTTTCATTTACTTATTTTAACATTCAATGATATAATTAGTCCTCCTCTATCCTCAATTTCTATACTTCATTTTTACTTAATCCATTATGTCATATCTGCCAAAACGACCTAATATTCTTTTTCCAACCTCTTTCTAACATTCTTTTATGTTGCAGTATTTTTGAAGATATATTTTAAATTTTTTCCAATCTTCTTCCATCGACCCTTCTCCCTGGTCTCGAATTCTGCCGGTCATCTCAGCCAGTTCCATATAGTCCATCACTTTCATCTGCCATTCTTCTCGGGTAGGCAATTCTTGTGTCTACCTTCTACCTAATCT